AGAGTGCGCACAGCGCGCACTTTCCAGCATGCCATTGAAAGGAGACTTCCTTTTCCTGCAGTTCACATTGATTTCGTGATTTCCGATCCGTGATTCTATGTTATTTTCTCCTACAACTCTTCCTACTCACTCTCTCTCCCTCTTTCGAATTTAATCGAATATGTTTAGTGTTCGCTGCCGCAGTCATGGCTCGCCGTTTCGTTTCTGTAAGTTAAACTTAAAGTTTTCGTACTTTAAGCTTGTATATGTTTAAAATGAACATTCACTTTTAGGAAGATGCACGAGTCTTGTTCTCGCTATCGGTAGGGCTTCGCAGTAAAAATTTCCGAAAAGTGATTTTCTAATTATTTTTTTTATTCCAATTTACTGATAATTTTGATGATGAGTTTCATTTTTTTAAACTTTGGTTTAATATTTAATTTATATTTCTCAGGAGCATCGAAATGGACTCGGACACGCTTGACGTACTGAAAGAATCTCTCGCACAGAAGATTCAAGCATTCGATTCTCTCCTTGGAAATCAAGCAGGTATGCAAAATCTCTAAACTTTCTTTGATAACAATGTTAAAGAGAGTACTCCTATTTGATTAATTTAAAAATTTTCCTAAAGCTATCAAAATATTTTGTGTTTAGTGCGCGGGCATCTCGATACATCCTTCCGCTCGCCGAACGTGGATGCAGTATGTTTCTTTTTCTATTATTCCGCTAACAATAACATATAATAATTGATCAATCAATGTGAAAGTGTATATATAATCATCTAAGGATAGAATATTGTATTTAGCGCTCCTCAATTAAATCCCTCCTGCTTCGACTGCACCGACAGGTCCATGCCGCCTGCGTTCTCGCTGATGTTTGTCATTTGGGTACGTTTGCCTTTTGGTTTTTAAAACATTTTAAGAATACATATCCAACTATTTCGATTACAGCCATGTATTTATTTATTTTTTTGTTTTATAGGGCCGGCACCCAGCGCTGAGGAGCAGAATGTGCTGGCAGAGGTGAAGAATGGGCTCTACCTTTTGGACGAAGCTATCACACCGCTATCCTCACTTGAGGGATCTTCCACAGTATAGTTTCGAAAATTGACCGTTCGACCGACCGTTCGACCAATATTTTTTCAACATGTCATAATAAATGGTCATTGGTCGAACGGTTGGAGTTTCAACATTTCAACATGTCACTTCAGAATGACATGTTGGTTTTTGACCGTTCGAAATGTCACTTCGAAATTGGTCGGTCATTTTTCGAACGTTCGAAATGTCACTCTGAAAATGGTCGGTCAGTTTTTGACCGTTCGAAATGTCACTCTCAAAATGGTCGGTCATTTTTTGACCGTTCAAAATGTTACTCTTGAATTGGTTGGTCATTTTTCGACCGTTCGAAATGCCTATTTGAAAATTTTCTCTTACGCTGGAAGTGAGGGCTCGTGCGCGAGACACATTCCTTCTTACTGCGTTCCAGTCTTTCACGTGCAAACTTTGAGCCGTCATAATTTGACTACGAGGCAAAAAGGCGAGATATTTTTATTTTTGATTTGGAATCAGCATGCCTTAAAGTACACCCCTGCGAAGTTTCATCAAAAAAGTTCAACCGGGGGATAAAAAAACAGTTTTCCTTGTCAGAGTAACTAGGAGCTTATTCATTATCACGAAGCACGCGGAGTTTACTCAAAATTCCATACTTTTCGCAAACGTTGATTCAATTTATTTCATTTCAGACATTTCAAACTTTTTTCAGTCAAATTTCGACCGTTTGAAACGCCATTTCAAAATTGGTCGTTCATTTTTTGACCGTTCAAAATGTCACTCTGAAAATGGTCGGTCATTTTTCGAACGTTCGAAATGTCACTTCAAAAATGGTCGGTCATTTTTCGAACGTTCGAAATGTCACTTCAAAAATGGTCGGTCATTTTTCGAACGTTCGAAATGTCACTTCAAAAATGGTCGGTCATTTTTCGAACGTTCGAAATGTCACTTCAAAAATGGTCGGTCATTTTTCGAACGTTCGAAATGTCACTTCAAAAATGGTCGGTCATTTTTCGAACGTTCGAAATGTCACTTCAAAAATGGTCGGTCATTTTTCGAACGTTCGAAATGTCACTTCGAAAATGGTCGGTCATTTTTCGAACGTTCGAAATGTCACTTCAAAAATGGTCGGTCGGTTTCGTAAATTTCAGAAATTGGTCGGTCAAACGAACGGTCAGAAAAATGACATGTTATAACCGTTCGAAAAACTGAACGGTCATATCAGTTGAACGGTCTAATTGGTCGAACGGTCGAATTTTAGAACACTATTCCACAGAGTCTGACTAAGTTCTGGTTTCGGTTAATTCATGTATTTTGTCTGTTTTCTATTAATTTTTGTCGATATGAATCCTGATAAACAATGTATGATATGATAATGTTCCTTATCACTTTTACATTCGTCAAACGAGAACTACATTACAATGAGTGCAATATCTACCTCTTGCTTTAATTCCTTCACTCGGCAAAGTATCTCGCATAAAAACACCACGGAAGTTCTTGATCTTTAGTGTGTCTACAAGTTCTTCAAGATCATAATTTGTCAGAGGTTTAAGATTTTCTGAAAAGATCATTTATTTAGCTTTTTTTTTATTCACCGTTCTACCGCATTTTTCTCGACCATCTCGACCACTGGATTTCGACCATATTTTTTATAACGCACTTTTCGACCATTTCCCCATTTTTGAAATTTGCTGAAAATGACACATTTTTGATGACCGAATGTTAGAAATCAATGAAAATAAGCCTTAAAATGGCTTAAAATGTGTAAAAATTGAAGGTGGTCGAAAAGCTGCGGTAGAACGGCAAAATACATATTATTAACGTCGAAAAAATGATATCCACCTTGAATTCCTGCATTTATGGATTATCATCTAACTGAAGGTTGCTCGCTCCCGTGAATAAAAGAACTCTAATACATGGTTTCTTCGATAATTATCAAAGTGCATAAGATATTTTCTCGGATCCTTATAATTAACATAAGATTGAACCAAGGGATTCACCGTAACCCGCGCCGACGACTAACTCTCCGATTATACCATGATTCAGCAGAGATTTTCTACATCTTGCTCTGAAGACTGAATAAATTGAAATTGAATTGGATTGAATTGAACCAAGGGAGGGAAAAGAAGTTTGTAATGTAAACGTGTGGAGGTATAGTTTTTATTTCTAATTGGCTGACTCACGGCGGGATGTCGACGGCTGGTCTGCCGTTTCTTCTCGTTAAGTATCCCATTTTCTATGGTTTCCGATGACTTTCTTGAAGACCTGAAGACAAGGAATAAGGTTGTAGCTGTAGCACTCTATGCACTGACGATGGCGTTAGCCGTAGTTTCTTGCGTTTCGAACGGAGGTCCGCAGCCGATTGTCGCGTCTCCGACGTCTTCTCGACGCTTCAGTCGCCGATCCAATCGCAGTTGTCGCTCCGAGGCTCGCGAAGACGAGGAAAACCACGTCGTCGAAGACTACAACCCCGCACTTTCACCCTGTTGCATGTCTCGTCTTTCGAGGTTATTACCTTTTAGAAATCAAAATAGCAACGGTTTGCTTGAAAACGCACGAAAATACGCTTTTAAGAAACATTACAATTTATCTTACCGTCTCTTGATTTTGAATAAATTCAAGCCATTGTTCTATTCTATTCTTCCGACAGTTATTTCATTTTGATTTTCATTTTGTTTCAGTGGGTCAGAACCTCAAGGGGCAACTCCAATTAAGTCTAGACAGGTAATACTTGGAAACAAGGAAAAACAAGATGCTTTGAAAAAAATCTCAGATCAATTCCGGTAGACTTGACAAAACAGCGAGAGTTACAAAGCCTGAGAAACACGATAAGGCCGAGAAAATTGACAAAGCGGACAAAGCTGACAAAGCGGACAAACCCCAGGAAGACAACGTCGCCGCCAAAGCCATTGACGATTCTGAGGAGGCCAAGGTGCCATTCGGAAAGATACTTTTTGACAAGACGATTTCAGGAATTGGAGACTACGGTTGCCAAAAATCCAGCCCCGATGGAGTTTAGAACCGCTGGCATGCTGGCTCTGATGGAAAGAGCCAAAACGAAAAAAGAGGTTTCCATATAATTCATTCTTCTTGACGGGGAGGCTCATTCACGGAATTTATCGACGCATAGCAGCCGATATTTTTCGAGCCATTCAATTTGCGATCACTTTCTAGTCAGAAAGAAATGAGTACATATTTTTTTGTTGATCTCAGAATTTTGTGAGCCACTACTTCTAATATTTTTCTAGAAAAACGAACAACGCGCCAAAGAAAAGGAAAAGCAGAAGAAGGAAGCTGTGAATCTGCAGCAGCAACAACTGCAGCTCCAACAGCAGCAACAACTCCAACTGCAACAACAACAGCAGCAGCAGCGACAGATTCAACTCCAGCTGCAAAAAGAAAAGGAGGAACGGGAAGAAAAAGAAAAGAAAAGGGTTTATTCACATATTTTTCATTCCAAGATCTAGTTGGTTTGTTTTGCAGAGGCTCAAATTTTGGTGATCTTCATCGTGCAGTTGAGAATAAAATATTATTTATTTCTCTGTCCGTTGATGTGATCAGTGTCAGGAAATGACGCAACAGACTCTTTCTGGGGCTCGGAGTTCGACGTTGGTCGTGTTTTTGAGCGCGCGGTGGATCTGTTCGAAGCGCGAAGTCGGGGCCGATTCGACATCTGACAGGGTCAGATCCTGCAAACCATTTCTTGTTTAGAAAAAATTTCGGCGGTGATGAAGAATTACAATCAGAAATTGAATATCGAAAGAAAAACCAAGTCTGTTGACGGTGACACAGTTCATTAACCAAAGTGTTTCCAATCATTGAAATCACATGGATAGAAACATAGTACTTCAGTATGAAAAAAATAAAATTCAGATCTAAATCTGAAAAATGGTTTTAAGATAAAATTACAAAACTAATAATCCAACGAAAATATGAAAACTACTAAATAGAAAACTAAGAGTAAAATTTTAGCGTTACTCTAATTATTATCTCATTTCTACCGCCCGAGTGGTCGGTCTTCATTTCCGCTCTCGTCTGAGATTTAATCCGACGCCCGTCAGCCCTGGACAAGCTGGGCGCCGTACCGTTCCTACATGGAGAAGCAGTGATCGTCGGAAACACTCGAAAGTCGTCTACTACTATCACAAGAAAGACGAGATGCTCTACGCGCCGTCTACGTTTGATCAACGACAGTTTCGCAAACCGACGAACAACTCTTCAATTATTCCATGATTCAGCAGAGTACCTTCTCTGAAGACTGAATAACGTTTTTTTTTTTTTTTTTTTAAAGTTTTAAAAGTTACTCTAATTCTATACTTAGATTTTTTAAACACGACCTCTTCCCTCCGTCGCCAAAAGTTCCGAACACGTACTTTCCTACATTTTCCCTACATTTATTCCGTAAACTTTAGTGCTAGTGTGGGAGAAATAAAAATTTGATTGAAAAGAAAAACCAACGTCGCAATGATCGAATCTGTTGACGGTGATGTTGATTCCTTCCAGGAAGTCCTCTTCGAACTCGTCTTCTTGATGATCGAGCTGCAGAATATTTCGAGAGAGTTTCGCTTTGAAGATCTATTGCAATTTTTCCTTCATCTTTCTCAAAATTGCACCTTTGAAAAGGTCTGAAAGTACTTTTTAGTTTTTTTAGACCATCTGATCAGTTCTTTCAGTCGCCTTGCCGGGAGACTAAAGGAACTGAATTCTGGCTTCAGAAAAATTAAAGCTGAAAAAATTTCTCGCTGTGATACTTTTCTGAGTTTTCTCTGTGCTTCTTCAGACACTAGAGCCTACTTGTGAACGAATTGATTATACTTAGAAAAGACTCACGTAGGCCTTGAGCGCCTCTCGGTCGATTACTGTGTTTTTGACCTTCTTGTCGCGTGTGTCGATGCTGGCCAAATGAACCCGTGGAGCATCTACTTTCGGATAACCGTATTTCTGAAGAACATTATCCTCTCACATCGAAAGAAAAGTTACCGTAGTCTCTGGTCGAAAAGCCAACTGTCCCATTTCTTCGGCGAGAGTCCTTTCTGTCCTCGCGTCCGAGGCGAGTTGGTAGTTGGCCAGTCGGTCCATCACCATCGATGACGTCATCGCTGTGTTTCCTGGAGCGCATATTAGTTTAATTTATTTTCTCAACTCTGAGCTTTTCCTAGTCTTTTTCAAAAAAGGGAGAAAAAGTTCAAAGGAAAAAGAAGAACCAGCCTACCATTCAACTCTTTGTCAATTTTTCGAATTTCTTCGCTGGAAATGCCCTCAAGAGCTTGCTCCGCCACGTTCAAAAGACTTCTCGGAACTGTCTCATATACTGAAAACGCAACATTTCCCCTTCATTCAACCCGAATTCCGATACCAGATTCGTGCATGGTACTCTCGTCGATATAACTCACTGCATTCAAACTTTCTTCGTGGGCCACTGCTGCTTTGTACTGAAAAAGCAGTTTTTACCATTTAGGAATCCGAAAAAAGAACAAACCAAGTATTCATCCCATTTTTTAAGCTTCTCATCGCTCAGGTCGGGACAAGATCCAGAGAGCTCGTCAATCTAGATATGCTAGTTTACAAGAAGAGTGTTTTTCGAACAGAATGAGAATCTCACAAAAACAAAAAGGCACATTTTATGAATTTTGAATCAAAACTGAATTTTTCCACTTTTGGTTTGAAAAAGAACCTCCAAACAAGGTCCGGGCAAGTTGCCTCCCTGACTGTCATCGTCGTCCGTGAAAGCGTTCGGGTCGGAAGGATGTGAAGAGCAAGGAGAACTCTGAATTTTTGATCTATTAAAACAAAAACAAGAAATAATTTTCCCACCGCGTGAGTATTGGAAGAAGTTTCGTGGACCATCGAGTTTGTGTTGTGCTTCCGTCGACGACGCTTTTTTCGCAATAAAATTGCGGGAATCGGTGGACCGTTTCCTTCTACAATTGACTGTCATCATCGACAAAGTCAAAGAAAAAGCATGATACTACGATGAGTATCGCTGAGACAAAAATATATCGCGAACAAATCAAAATCTTCAAAAAAACTTTCTCTAAACTATATCAATTATGAAGGAAAATGGTTTCGCCAAGCGCCAAGCGATATGAAAAAGGAAAATAAAATCACGAACAATTTTAGAAGTTAGAAAAAAAAAAACGAAATTTTCCGGCTCTTCTTACCCAACTCCTCAAAAGTAAAGAAAAAAAAATTTTTTTCCTTAATTTTTTTTTTTGAACTATACCCATCAATTGAAATATAATATTTCGTTGTCGCTACAGGTAAACAGTTTTTTAAAGAATTAAAAACGCGTACGACCTCATTACACTGAATCAAGCTCGAAATTTCAGAGAAAGTCAAAATTATGAGAAGGCTTCGCAACTTTCGAGAACATCATTTCGACGTGTGCTTTATGAGATCTGAAGTTAGAAGTTCAACTTTAGTATGAAATGAAAAATAAAAGAGATAAAAATTATCTTCGGGTGCAGTTTTAGGAGCACAGAAGTTTGCTCGAGAAGTGGGTAATTGTCAATACAAGGGTCAAGGCGTGGCGGCCGAGCCGACGGAGTTTGGCGCCGACGGCGGTTGTGTAACACGCGTCGTTCCGCGTTCGCCCACTTGTCAGGTCCGTCAAGGGCGGTTATTATGCAGGTGCTCCCCCTTTTACACTCCCTATCACTTGGATGATAACTGACATGACTCAGAAAGGTGTGAAGTCCAAATGGAAATTAGCGGAGCTCGTTGAAGAGTCTATTTCACGAGAAAGATTATTTTACCTTGGAGTTTCCCGAAAATGCATCGAAAAATCTTTGGAAAATCGTTTTGTCTCATTTATTCTTATCTTCTAGCTCACTTTTAATATCGGAAAAAGCTAATCATATCTCTAAAAAGCTTTGAAAACCAAAACATCTTACAAATAGAGCTTTGGGGTAGCTTTTTAAACTCGCCCGATTTTTTTTTCAGAAAACCTACGATTGATATTAGTGATATTGGCTGAGTAACCAGCTGGGATCCCAGTAAGTTGCTCGAGTGGATTGAATGGAAATATTGATGGCTGTGGATTCGGAAGACTCGGTTGAACCATTGTCGAAAACAAAGATGGTGCCGGAGGAAAAGCTGAAAAATCTAACCATAAAAATGACGAAAAAAAAAGAATGGAAACTTACGTGGCAGGAAAGGAGGAGCAAAGTTGCCAAGATCGACAGCTGGACCAGGTACAGACTCAAAAGCTTGGACGAGCTGTCGGGACCTCGGAACGAATTCTGGAGCTTTCAACCACTCTATAACAACCCTCTTTTCTTCTATCTGCACGTTAAATTGAACCTTCCGGATCGGGTGTTGCAAACGGAACCACTTTGAGTGGCTTTTTGTTCTCGTTGGTCTGAAAATACGAAGATGGCGGTCGGTCGGCCTCTTCGAAGTATACACGAGGTAGATCTTCTTCCATGATCAACCTCAAAGTTTTTAAAATGAAAAATGAGCTTCTGTTGGATCACTTAATATGTTTCGAACTGTTTTTCCGCATACTTCCGAAAATTGAAAAAAAAAAAAGGAAATTCTCTTAAAAGCCGCCGAAAAGATCGGCTTTCTTCTCTTTATCAAATCAAAGAACAGGGGAAGGAAAATCAGAAAAAATAAAGTCTTCAAGCGGAAAACGGAGAAGCGACGGGAAGCGGCGTAGGTCAGCCGGCCACGTTACACTCTTACACTGGAGCAGAACCAGTGGAGAGCTTAGAAACGCGAGAAAAAAATTAAATCAAATGGGTATTGAACGTTTGAAAATTGATTCTACATGTTTATAAAAATTCTGGAAAAACGCAGTTTGTATGATTCAGAAGTAAAAAAATTCTGACGAGATATTTGTAAATCTATAAAATTTTCAAAAAAACTCGAAGCATAGGTTTTTTTCTCTATCTTTTTTTCACTTGCAAGTTGAGAGCCTAGGCTTTCAGCTTCGTCGTGGCTTAGACAAATGAATTAATTATTTATTATTGCATTGTGTAAGAAAAAAATTTAACTAAATGAGAAGTTAAAGTTTTCTATAGGTGTGAAAAAAAGTAATTTATTAAACTGAACTTTGAAGGGAGCGATATGAAAAGCCGATAAAAATTGATCGGCTAGAAAAAAATTAAAAAAAAGAAAATCTTTTTTGAAAATGTTCAAGCCGGTTTATTTGATTCAAACATCAATTCACAAGCGTTTTTTCTTGAAGGGAAGTCTTCAAAAAAACCAGCAAAGACCTACCTTTTGACTTAGCACGTTTCGTCTCATTATTGTGTTTTTCTCCATCCACAGTTGCATTTTCTGTTTGAAAAAGAGAGTTTAGCTGAAGATAGCTATCAGTGACCAGCGTGTCGTCGACTTCTTTGCGGGATGCCGAAAAATTAAGCGACAAGCGAGAAAATGGGGTCAAAAAACGGACAAGGTCGCTTTATGGAAGTCAGTTCTTCGCAAAACTTTTCTGAAATGCGGCGGGTTAAATTTATGCCGTTTTTTTATCTTTACTGATTATTTTTTTATACTGGTACGTTTTTTTCGATTTTTTTAGTTTGTTGATTCTAAGCAGATAAATAAAATATATAATTTCCTTTTTTTCATGATTCATTATCCCTTTCATAAACTATAGTTTGAACTAAAAAAATTTTTTATTGTAGTTAACAAAAAAACAAGAATAATGAAAAATTCTTGAAAGCTTATGACAAAAAAAGAAAAACAACATTCAGGATAAAAATCGCTGCTCTAAAGAGCTTTTTTTCGGGTTGTATTTAAATCTATAAAATTTCTAATTTCAATAATATAAAAAAATAAAAATTAAAAAGCGAAATCGAAGAATTATTGAACTTTTTGAAGCGAAAAAAATGAACTTTTTGCACATAGTCGCTCCATAGATAAATTCGCTTTTTTTTGTTAACAAAAAAATAATTATTGAAATTTCAAATTGATACAATTATGAGGGAAATTTTGTTCTTCGAACTTTCAAAGATATAAAAATTTCTGAGAATGAGGTGTTTTAGCATTTTTCCAGTTTCACTCTTTAAGTCTCTTCTCTTAAAAATGTGATGTTTCAGCACAAGCGGACCATTCTTTCAACGATCCCGACAACATTCTATCGGTTGGAGCGTTTTTGAAAATTAATACAAGTTATTTTAGCTTCACCAAGTTCGAAAGCATCATGAAATCGCCCTCGAGTTTAACATCGAATCGAAAGGTTCTATTTTTTAAAAACTCGTACATCACAATTCTCATCATAACAACCTATTCTGTTCATTGTTCATTTTGGACATGTTCAGAGCATTCAGACATACGACGCTCACCGCTGACCTTGGAAGACGACCCACTTCCCACGGAAACCGAAGTTGATAAGGTTTGAATCGGCCAAGAATGATCACGAAAATTAGGAAAAAAAGTGGAATGAGACAATTCATAAGACTTATCTATGAGAATCAGACAATATCGACTAATAGAACTTCTCTTCCTTCGCCTGAAGTGAACTTTGACATGAAAAAAAAATATTTGTCGAAAAAAGAAAAAAAGAAATAGATGAATAATATGAAATATCTATGCGAATGTGAAAAATTTGATTATTAAAGATTTTCAGTTCTTTTATTGAAAAAATATTTTGATAAGACAGAATATAAGAGTTGAAAAAAATAATAATTCCTAATTTCAGAAAGCAGACTTCGCAGGATCAATGACGGAGGAAAAGCCGTTTTTGAAACTTCGAGGTATTTTCTTTTCATGAAAAGCACACGCAAAAAAACTCGCATTTCAAATTTTTCCTTTTGTATAACTTCATTATTTCAGATTTTCAATTTCCTGAGCCAAGCCATGCGACAGAACTGAATGAAACTAGCAAAGTCCCATCGCGATTCGATCAACTCATGTACGATTTCATGGTTCCAGAAGGAAAATCGGAGGTTTTTGAGGATATTTGAGGTAGTTCATCCAAGTGAGCTGTTAAGAAAGCGTCCGAGATGGCGGTTGTGGATTTTATCACAGAAAAAGGCGGCCAGCAACCCTCGTTTGCTATTGCTTTTGACAAACAAGGGTGGTTCAGCGTCGGCGACGTCACCATGGAGCAAGTTGGGAGTTCCGCTGATTCTAGTTTCTCCAAAAAAACTTCTAGGGCGAGAATGTAGACGTTTACCATGCCGCGGTTTTGTTGAAGGCTCTGGCTGACGTGCGAGTTGCAGAAACCCGCAACGGAATGTACAAATTCGTGGTCGAGGTGCAAAATATACACGTCATCCAAATCTATGAACAAATTTTGAGGCCAAACAAGGAGAGACAGTTCATACTACCAAACTGCGGGTTGATGTCATCTCTCTCTCTCCAACGACAGTCAGAAGCACGACGACGGCCTTGCTGGACGATTCAGCGACGTCGGTAGACATGATTCTCGAAGGCTCGAGCAAGTTTGCCGTCCCGTCGACTCCCATCTCTATCGCCGGGGAACCCAATTCGACATCGGGGCCAAACTTCGATTCTTCTGCTTCTTCTAAAATCCCTGGAGCTGCCTCAATCGCCGACGGCAAGGTTGAGGCTCCTGGAAATAAAGACGGGACAAAAAAGAGCGAGTCGGAGATTTCGAAAGCCTTTGAGCTTTTCTTAGCCGAGAAAACAATGGAGAATCCAGAAAACGAGAACTCTACAAACAAAACAACAGCAGCAGCAACAGAGTCGTCTTTCCCGGAAAAGCTTCAGAAACCTGAAAAAGAGCTTGTTGACGAAGAAACTTCCACAACATCTTTCTCAGAAATTACATCTCTCGAGACAATGAGCACAGATTCAACGGAAACGTTCAGTACGATGCAGCTAACTAGCTCCGAAGAAATGAAAGAGATTTTCACGATTACCACCGTCCAAATAGATCCGCAAACGAATTCCTCGACAACAGAGATTTTCGAGACAACAACGAAATCTGTTGGGAATGATGGTCTTTCCGAAGGATCCGCAGAAGTCGGAACTCAAGAAGCTCTTGCTATAGAAGGCTCGGGGATGCTGACCGAGAGCTTCAACTCCAAAGAAGTACAGAAACTGAGAAAGAGAAGCTCTTCTCATTATTTTTTTTGCAGGAAAACGAGGAGAGTCCTCTGAAAGGTGCTACCAAAATTATGGATCTTCAGGCGACGAGCGAAGAGAACGATGAACAAAACGCCAACAGTTGAAAATGTCTCCTATTCTCCTAATACAGAATATTTTGAAGGCATTCGAATTGAAGTTCTGGGGGCCGGTGAGAATGATCATTTCATCAATAAAGACGCGAAACTGCGTGGAGACGTCCTCAGAGAATTCTCACTGGTTTTCAATTCAACAGTGAGTTCAAACCACTCTTTTTGTCTAATTCAAAACTGTTTTTTTTCAAGGAGCGAGGGAAAAGTGCCGAGATCGACATTGAGCCTCTAGGAATTTTCAGCGTCCAGCCGAAAATTTTGTTTCCAGGAGAAGCCGCGTACCTCGTCCTTGAAAATGCCAAGAAACTTGGAACTAACCAATTTGAAGTGATTTCCGTGTCTCTCTTTCCGAGAAAAATGCGCTTTGAGGTGATCGCTCGTACTTCTGGTGGCACAACTGCGCGTCGTATTTTTGAAATCGAAACTAAATGGGAACCAGAACAAACAGATACTTTCACAGAAGAGCCCGAGAATATTGAGATGAAGAAAGTTTCTTTCGAAGTTTCTGAAGATGCTCCAGCCGGCGCCACCGTAGGGAAGGTTGAAGGTTCCATGCGAATCGTCGGCTCCAGTGATAGGTGACTTTTCCTAACTCTTTCGTTGTTTGAAAAACTTTGAAAAGTTATAAAAGTCGTCCTTTCAGATTCGTTCTAGTTGGAAATGACATAATTTTATCGTGCAGTGCGGACAAATGCTTGGACGCTGAGAAGAAATCCCGACATTCTCTAATTTTACTTCCAACTGACGGTAGAACACAAAAAGCATTTTTGATCCGAAAAGTGGTTCAGGCAGTTTGGCGCCAATCGAAGTGCAAGTCCGCGTGAAAGATGTCAACGAATTTGCTCCGACGATCCATTCATCCGATGAAATCATCCGCATTTCTGATAATCGACTGATTATGCCGTTTGGCGTTTCAGTAATTTTGAACTTCCTTTTCTCCAGTCGATTTTTGTTTTGCAGGTCATTGATAAAGATGCTGAGTCTCAAGAATCTTCAACAAACCAAGTCTCCGTTTCTGGTTCTGCAGCTGCTTTCCTACGTATCGAAAAAGTTGAAAAACATCTTTATCAGGTAATTAGAGCGTGTTTCGAAAAATCAGTTGAATAAAGGTGATGATCACTGATTCCGCGCCAAGTGGAACCTACGAACTTAAAATAACAGCGCACGACGAAATTAACGAAGCATCGAAAAGAGTGAAAGTTTCTGTGGAGGTGAGAATTAACTATCATTCCGAGTTTCATTTCAAATTGAAGAACTCGAACTCTCACGCTCGATTCAGACGCTCAAAATACTTGAGTTCACTTCAATCAGGAAACATCAGAAAGGGTAAAAATATAACTACAATTTGAAAAAATCTCGAATCGAGAAATTTTTCAGGAGAACAACTGACCCAAGTCGAATTGGAAGGCGTTCCGATTGACGAGACCAAGATAGTCGTACTGGGAGGAAATCCTGGATGGATTACTGTAGAAGATTACGGTGGCAAAGTGAAGGTCGCCGATTACGACGGGTCTGCAACTTTGGATGAAGCTCTTAGAAGTTCTGAAACTTTTCAGAGAGATATTCTCCGGAACGCATGAGCTGCGGATTGGAGCGGTTGACCGGAAAACGAGCAACGTCTTGGCCGAAACTTCCTTGACAGTCGTAGTCTCTGGAGGCGCCGAGCCGAAGAAAACGGAGGCCGCTTCTACTTTTGTGCTCACCAATGTTCTTGATCGAGGTAGCAGTTCGTTGATTCAGGATCTAAGGATGACGAACGGACATCGTTCTTTCCTCGATGTACTGGAAAACTGAGAAAAAATCAGTGTAAATGTTATATTTTGCTGAACAGCGAAGTTTTTGGAGCAAAACTAACCAGAATTTTTTTGCAAAAAATCCTAAAGTTCGTGTTTAACAACATATTTGATTTATAGAAAAAGTTATCATAACGCCCGTTTTTTTCCCAACTCAGCTTAAACCCAAATGGCGCAGAACAGGTCTGCGTTCAATTTTCTGTTTCAAATTTTGTCAATTAACTCTTTTCAACCTTTGACTCAATTTCTAAATTCTCAGAGACGGCTGCCGAATTCTTCGTGAACACACCTGACGGCGATTGGAGGGTTGATCCGGCGTCGCTGTACGCCATCGACGAGAACGGACGCCGTAAAAGTTTCAGCCCGGTTTCGAGTGAATCCTTTCGTTATTTCCTATTGAAATTGTTTCAGTTAAACGTGAAAACGGGCGCAAATCGCGTGATTTTTGATAAATTAGCAGTTGAAAAGTTGCGAGTTGTACGAGCTGATTTATCTCACGGCAAGAGAAAAGGTGAAACCTCGAAATTGATTGATCAACGAAATATTCAGTGAATGTCGTTTTGCGATTGATCTCGAGTCCCTTGTTCTTGGAAAAGATGCGAAAAGAAGCGGCTCGTCCAATGTTCCCATCGCCGTGGAGCGAAGATAGTCAAATGATTGAGGTTTGTGCGGCGGGGAAAGGCCCGCAGAGAAACAAAAATAGCATGTCAACCTGCACGGACTCGGTTAGAGAGCACGGTATACTTGGAGATGCCACACTCCGCATAATCATATCTTTAATGGGAACCATGCTTTTCTTAGCCTGTAAAGCATGGCTGAGAGATTATTTCCAACGAAAAAAATAAATCAAAATTGTTCCATATTAAAACATAGAGGTAATATTTTGATTTCTATAATGAACTAGAATGTTTATGTGCAGAATTCGAGACTTTTGAAAGTTTTTGTACAGAAATCTAGTTCTAATATACCCGTTTGAAGTTTGCTTAAAGTCCATCATTTGAAAAACGTGGCCATTTGAAAACAGACATGTAGTTTATTCCCAGTTTCCGGAAAAAGTTTTAAAAAATTCAGATTTCTGTTGACGAAGAACTTCCCATCGGTCACGTGGTCGCAGTTCTGCCTGCAGTCGTTCCGACCACCAAAAAAACCGCTCCAGTTTCCATAAACGGTGAAATGCAGGAAGCTTTCGAGTTGGACTCCGAAACTGGTGAATCATGAAAAAGCTGCATATTCACTCATTTTTTCAGGACTATTAACCATCAAAAACCGCATCGACTACGAAAGTCTTTCGGAAAATCAACGAAAGTTCGATCTGGAGCTCATATCAGGAGAGGAAGCCTTCGAATCGAAAGCTGTTTTGAAATTCTTGGTCTCCGACGTCGATGACCAGCCTCCGGTCATTCAGGATGACCTCTTCGGCGATGTTGGTACCTGAAAAAAGGGAAAAATTATTTTTGCGTGTCCAGATCGACATCCGAGAAGACTTGCCGAGAGGAACTGTGGTCGCCAACTTGTCTTTGACCGACACTAATGCGCCCCAGGGCTTCATTGTGACTGTTGATGGTCGTGGGAAGGACAGTTACGAGGCGATTGCGGTAGATTCATCAAGGAAAAATAGTTGAAGAACTCAAAAGAGTTCCAGGACTCTGGTCGACTGATTGTCAGAATGGTTGGCTCGTTGGACAGGGAAAAAGAGACGTCTCACGCGATCATCGTCACTGTCCGCGATGCTGCTGGGAACTCGGACCAAATCTTGGTGAAACGCGTTTTTTGGTGTATTCGAAATGTTATTCAGTTGCCCATCAACATCCTCGATGTCAATGACCATTCTCCCGAGCTCGATCGCGAGTTTTATGAAGTCAGCGCGATGGATGGCTGGCCCGAAGGCGTTGTTCTCGATAAGTCTGTTCAGCTTCTTGCTGTCGACATTCATGATGTTCTTTCTAGGATAACAGCCACTGACAACGATATTGAGGAAGCTGGCCGCGTGACCTACAGCATTGAACAGGGAGAATTGAAAAGTCAGTTGATAATGTCCAACGAGTAGATTTTTGTTTTATTAGCACTCGGAAAAAGATAAGTTTCAGAAATTTTTTTGATTTTTTTGATACAATCTTCACATTTCATAGGCTTAGAGCCCCGGAAACATGAGATTTGAGGTTTAAAAAGTTGTAGAGCAAGAGCAAAGTTTTACATCGGAGAAAAACGAAGAAATGAACGAATGACGGTACGTTTTGTTCATAGAAAAAATTTACTTTGAATGAATTTTTTTTCAAATAAAGGAGCTCAATTTCATTTTCATTTCGATTTTGAATACATTTTTCATAATAAGTATGAACTTCTTCAAAGTTTGAACTAGACCTTTCAACACAAAAAATAAGCTCTGAAAAAGTTCGGTTTATTCTTAAACCTCAGGTTGACTGACCATATTTCTTTTGATACAGAATCTCATAGGGAGTTTTAGACCAGCTGTTGAACCTCGAAAAAGATATACTTTTTGGTCGAAAAATAGCTCATCTTGGTCGTAATTTGTCGTGTAGTTTCTTTCTACAGTTTCTTGGTTTCAAGTTTCAAAAAGGATTTTTCTATGGTTTCAAGAATTTTCGAGTAACGAAGTCGAATTTCAGTGTTCGCTATCAATGAAACAACCGGAGTGCTGATCTCTGCAGCGGAAATGTTTGGAATGGCCACTGATGAGCCTCAAATTCTCCGAGTCGTGGCTTCTGATAACGGTCAGGAATCCTGCTATTTCTGCGATTTTTTACGTTGCAGATCCTAATAAGAAATTCAGATGATTTATATCAAAATCTATAAAAATTCAATAATGAATGAACTCAGGCGAACCCCCTCGGAACACTTCGACGACGATCAAAGTCCACGTGAGGTCGTCGATGACGTCACGCGCTCCTTTCGAGTTCACCTCACCTGTCGACGACTTCGTTCTGAACCTCGAACGAGTTGGTTCGGTCTCAAATTGCCCCCAGTTTCCTGAATAGTTGCAGAAAACACCAAAACCCCTCAAGGTTTTCACTGCAACGGCAAAAACCGCCCGAGGTCGGCCCAATGACTCGCTAAAACCCAAATTCGCTATCAAGGTAATGAGCCTATTTTTGAAAGAAAAAGCGGTTCCGCCAGTCATTGTTGTAGCACGTTGTGAAATTTTTCCTCATCCAGTTTGGACAGTTTCAGCAGAAATTCCGTGATAAGCTGAGAAAAGACCAAATTTTGGAGAGTTAAAACTTACAAATAATAAATCTAGGGAGAAAAAACTGAATAATATCAAAAAGGCTCTGAATGGAATTTGTTTGAGATTTTATGTTGTGTGAGGTTTTGAAGTCAGCTCAATTTCCAGGACCTTATCGAAAACACGGAAGCGTTCAAAATCGACGAATTTACGGGCGACGTCTTCTTCGAGTCTCAGAAGTCAGATAGACGCCATTTCGCGGTACGCCTGTTTAGGAATTCTTTTTTTTTTTTCAATTTAGCTTTTTTTCAAGTTTTGAATTTTTATTTTACTTTTTTGCATAAGTCTTGTCATGTCCCGCAGTGTTGTTTTTGTGCTGTCCTGTACAAGTTTTTAGTTTTCTTTTTATTAAATGTGAATACAAATAAGTGAAGTCATATTAGATATTAATATTAAGATCATTGGAATTTTTAAACCGGTAGAAGCGACTATGGGAAAGTCAAATATTAAACAGGAATAGGGAAGCTTACACCGATTTGGGGGCTACAAGAACACTGGAGTAATATGACAAATACTGCTGATAGTAATAGTTGTAAATTGGAGAAATATCATAGCTCGGAGTTGAAGGAAGGACATTTTGAATAGGAAAATAGTTAAGAGAGGTTGAGAAACCGGAGGGAGTGAGATAAGAAACACTGGGGAAGTTGGATAGACCGACAGGGGTTGAAGGAGTTTGACCTGGAGACTTTAGGGATGAACCGGGAGAGCTGATGCTTGGACTGGAAGATTCTGCGGAGTCAGAAGAGCTTCTTGAAGGGAAAAACTCCACAGAGTCGTCGTTGGCCAGGCGGATCTGTCCTCGTTCCTTGGTCAGCTTCTTTCGGAAGTTTGGATTCAACGACCAGTACGAACCTTCAAAAAATGCATAATTAGTTTTGATTTTTCGAAAGAAAAGTGGTTTTTTTTCTTAAGTATATTTTTAACTTTTGGTAATATCACATGTGTTTTCTTTCGAATCTTATTATCGTTGAATAACCTCTGTGTTGGTGATTCTCGCGATCCTTAGGAAGTTTGATGAAACACTTGCTGAGCGACAAATTGTGCCGGATGCTGTTCTTCCAGTTCATCTGTGCTTTTTTGTAGTAGGGAAAGCGACGCTCGATGTACTCGTAAATTCCACTCAACGTTAGTCTGAACATTTAATGATCAGGTTCTTATTTCTTTTTCAATGTACAAACCTTTCGTTTTCGCTTTGTCGGAGAGCCATCACAATCATGGCGTTGTAGGAGTAAATTGGCTTCTCTTCTGATTCGTCGGCTTTCTAAAAAAGTTGTTTGTTTATATATTTTCTTGTTGCTGGGTTACCTCGTTTTGATCTTGAGCCGGAGATGAAATGAGTTCAGCCACAGTGAAAGATTGAGAGTTTGACATGTCTTTTCTGAAAGAAGATTAATTTAAAAGTGTAATGATACAGTTATTTGCGATTATATCAAGTGTTCGAAAAAATAAAATACATGGATGAAATGTTTGAAAATTTAAAAAATATTTATATTTTTAAGTTTCTACTACTATTTAGTTGATTAGATTTCGCACAAAAGGTGATGAATAAGCAATGGAATTGAAAAATGTAGTTTACAGGAAACGAGGAAAAAAAAAATCAGATTAGACCTCAATGAAAGTGTGTTTTTTGCTGAAAACGTATCGTTTTGAAAAGAAAGAGAAATAAAAGTGGTCTCAAGAGCCAGAGCAGCAACACGGGGCACAGAAAGGAGTGATAAATGAAGTTAATGAGTTCAAGCCCACCTTATATATAGTGGAGGGAAGAGCCGCCAAAGACGACAGGTGTGAGCCGGCGGCGACACCTCCTCAGGTGTGAGGTCGGCTGTCTTCAGCCACGTCTTCTTCTTCTTTTTTCGGCTTGTCACTAGGTTCGTTTGACGGTTCCTTGTCACTTGATTACACGCTTTTTTGTCGTTTTGTTTGATTGCTGTCAATCTTTTGTCGCTTTTTGTCTTTTGCCTCAAATTTTGTTTTTGATGTTTGAAACGTAAATGGTCCTTTTTTTAAATCATTTTATTATAAAATTATTTTTCAATTTTTGAAAATTAAAAAAAAAATCAGTGCTCATTAAATAAAAAAAGTTTAAAATTTGAAACATAAAAAAATTATTAAACGAAAAAAATAATATAAGTTTATGTTTGTCTTCCGGTCCAAGTTTTTTTGAGTTAAATTTCTTGACTTTATTTTGAAAAAAAGCTCCCAGAAAAATTTACAGCTTTTTGTATTTACTTTACTGGCACGAATAACTTGTGGATCAATGCACTGATGCATTATTTTTTTCTTTTTTTGTTAATTCATTTTTTTCCCCTAGTTTTTGATTGTGTCATTTTGCGAAATAGCATTTTTTTTTTTCGTTTTTTTCTCCAACGCATTTTTTTCGAATCGCCGCGCACGGTTTTTATTAATTCTTTATTTACTATTTTCCCTTCCAGTTTTTATCGTATTTCAATCCTTTGACTTTCGCGCGAAAAACTGGAATTGGTGTTTTCATTGGAATTATAATTGTCTCGAAAAGGGTGAGAACATATACACCGTTCGAAGTTATCGTTTTTCAGCTACAATCAGTAGTTGGAGATTTTATCAATCTATGGCCAGAACCTGAAGACTGTAGACAGATGCAGAAAGTTCTTTGCTTGCAATAAATTTCCTCTGTTCTGCGATTTCATTCTTTGTGAGTTCGAGATTCGTGTCACCAACTGCGCCACCATTTTTTATCAACCGTTTGATTTATTATGCCTCGCTGAAGTGGACAAAACGGCCAAAAATAAAGAAAAAGGTTGACAGAAAACTTTTTTGAAGATATATTAGACGCAGTGAGTATAAACACTTCACGTATCATGGGTCATTGTTCAGTTCCTTCTCGATTCGTTGGTCAAATCAGTTTCTAGTGTTTCCTTTTTTTATAATCCACTCCTATCAAGTAGAGATCTGTTCGAGGCGACTTCGACTATTTGCCGTTTGGTTTTGTTGACTTTTCCCCTCAGAAGTTTCCATTTTATTTTACATTTTCAAGAGCGCTCTCAATCTTTTCCAAATGGTTTTTACCGCTCAAAGATTGAACTAAATGTTTGTTCAGCAGTGGAACATGACCTGTACTTGTGTGAAATTTCCACGGAAAATTAAAAGTTTTGGATCGACTTTGAGGGTTTCCTAGCGAGATTTGAAATTTATCATAGATTATCAAAACATCAAGTTTTGCACGTGTAAGCATCTGATATATATATATATATGGGTAGAGAGACTCTGAAAATCCCAGTGTGGTTAAAGAGTAAAGCTATATTCTGAGGCCCTCTTAAATTAACATCGCAACTTCAACCAGTTTGGGACGGTTATTCCAGAGAACTTTCACGCGCTTTACTCCTTACGCCTCCGCTAGCCGATTATACAGCGGCAGAAAACTGAATGGACAAGAATGAACTTTTTTTGATCTGACTTCGTTGTCGAATACAAACGGCTTGTAATTGTCGCCTTGCGATTTGCGGAAGTATAGCGACAGATTTTTGCTGGACTCAAACCCGTCGTCGTCTTTTTTCTGTCCGTTTTCTTTCGCCGATGTCGAAGAGACCTAGAAAAGGCCGCCGGAGGAGATTGTATGTCTGGAAAGTCTGCTTGTGTACTGCTTCTGTTGTGTCGGAGCGCTACTGGATTCTTTGATTTGGTTTAATAGTTTCAAAATTCGGTACTTTTTCTGTCCTCCCCACATCTGGTTACCCTCAATTGGGATGATAATCTGAATACACTACCGATTTTCCTAAAAACTTGAAAAATACGAAAATTTCAAGGTTTTATTGAATTAGAGTGTTTTTACTTGGAAATCAATGCTCAAAAATTGATCTAGTTCAGTTTTTTGATAAAATGAGTAACTTCCTTGATTATCTTTTTCCATTTTTTTCTCTTTAGATTAGCCCGACTTTTTTTTTCCGTTCCTACTCGCTGAAATTTCAATCTGAAGCTTACGGTTATGAGATGTGACAGTTTTAGTGACCAATCGGAGACCTTTCTCATGCGTGTCTCACGCGATTTTCTCCGCCTGAATCGAAGATTTTCCCGAATCGGGAAAAATAAATAAGCAAAATAAATAACATTGCACGAACGTGACCGAACAGTGAAAAAAAGCGGATTACCGGCGTGGTTGACGCTTGCGCTTACCCAAGTTCTACTCATCGCTTTTTTCGACTTTGGCTCTTTTTCCCTTTTTTCCTTAGGCTCTTCCTTTGTACACAAGGCTTTAGTTGTGAAGGCGGTTCTATCGCACTTTGTCGTTCTCTGCGCGTTGTGTAGAAATCTTTTCGTCTAGTATCGTGTTTATTTTTATATCTGCTGATATGAACTTTTATGTCAACTCACATGTCGAAAAAAAGTTGAATGATTTAATATTTCAGGGGATTTTTACTAACAGTAGAAGATAAGACAGAAGAACGCAATCATTTTTCTTGACAATGATAAGAGAAAAAGTGAAGCTAGATTTTTTTGAAACAAAAGTTTGAGTTCACTTTTTTCGAGATAGTTCCATTGAAGTTATCTTTTCTTTGGTTTGTTTTTTGAAACTCTCTCGGCGGCTAAGCTGCGTTGTGGAACAAAACTTGAAAGAGCTTGAGATAGGTTTCTAAGATTTCCGTCAGAAGTTCTGAGTTCAGAGGAACCTAGCCAAACCAATTTTCGGACAAGGCCAGGATAGGTGACGTCAGTGATGCAGAACGCCTTTTCCGACATTGTGACGTTGACTTCTTTGTTGAAATTCTCCTCTTCTTCTTCTTCTTTTGTGCCATCCGATCGTGGTACACTACATTAGAGCGGAAAACATACAAAGGCGATGGTGCATGTCCCAGGAATCAAGGACAGGCGTGTTTGGAACGGAGAAAAACGCAGAGGTTTTGCATGATTCCTGCAGTTTCGCTCCAATTTATCACTGCCGTTTTTGCTGTTTTGCGCCTCGGCAAACGCTTCTGTCGTCTTTTGTTTGTTCGGATTAGTTTTGTTGCCAATTGATAATTCTGTTTACGATTTCTATGAGGTCACCGAAAATGGCTGAACGCGTCAGATGGGTAGCAAGAATAAAAGCTTTTTTAAGCGCTTTTTTTTCGTAATTTCAAATTCAAGCGGGTATTCAAAAAACTATAATGGAAATTTCCCATACTCACTTTCTTTTAAGCTAATTTTTTAGAAAGTGGAACTTCGATCTTCGAAACTCGCTTTAGCTAATCAACCACTTATTATTGGCTTTTCGACTTTTTACCTCCAATCAAAAAATGATTAGGTCATGTGTCCCTTTTTTTCCTTTTTTCAGATTAAAAATTTTTCAGGCAGTACGGACCGTTCTATCTGCTCATGTACCCTCGAATTTTATTTTTCGAAAAAATTGTTACAGTATTAGACTAAAAATCAGTTGAAAATTTCACCCATCGGTTAAAAATTCTACTTTGAAAAAAAAGTTTTGATAACTTCAAAGTAATTTTTTTATTTCTTGGACCACATTACTCAATTATTTTTATTTTTTGAAGTTAATCCTTTTTATGTTTCCCATCCCCCCCTAACTATAGTTCTTTTTACCTTTCTCCCTTAACTTCCTCGTGTCAATTAGACCTGGCCCACCTGTAATCGAGGTTTTTTGTCGGTCACAATTTCCATTTCCTCTGCTCGAAAAAATTCCGTGATACGTTGACGATGATATGAGTTGACAGGCGCCGTTCGCCTTTTTCTGGAAACAAACTCTGGCACTCGGGCCGCTGGCGACGTCGTTGGGCTGCAGCCGCTGACGGAGGCCTCGAATTACTTTTTCGGGCCTGAGTCAACTTCTAGGTTATTTTTCTTAAAAGATGTTCAGTGCGAATCAGATTTGTTACTATGTAAGCCATTCAGGTATAAAGTTCGAAAACTCATCAATAGTTTAAAATTTATTATTTTTTTTTTGCAGTTTGATAAAAGAAACCTTTATCCTATTTTTGAAAAACTTCAGTTTGATGAAGTCTGGAGATTGGTGAACGCTGCACGAGATACGCTTGCAAACACTTGAAAAAGCCGAGCATGCGACAGCCTTCGTTCGCCTGTTTTCTTTTTTTTCGCCACATCTGACCTTTTTTTTCTTCCGTAATATGTACAGATGTTGCCAGAGTTTGAGTTGAATAGTGTTGGTAGATGCGCATTGGAGGTGGAGTTGGCGCGGCGCCGAGAAGTTTTCAAGGGCTTTGCATACTTTTTACTTTTTCCGCTACCACTTACTTGGTCCAATTTGGTTTTTTTTTCTGGTCTCGAGTGGTTTTTTTTAAAATTAATTTTAGAGCTTCATTTTGAACGTATCCTTTCTGAAAAAGTTTCATAGTGGAGTATACATACAGAGAAAATTATTACTTTCAAATATCCGCTACCGGAGGTACGAAGTAAGACCTTCATCGTAGTAACACTACGTAGCATAAAGCCATTGGAAATAATCGACACCTATGGAGGCTCATGCCGAAACACTAGCTTATTTCAAACATACTTTTTTATAGCTCTATTAATTTTGTTATAAATGCAGTCTAAAAATAAACTACAGAAGATGTTTTTTTGCATTGCGAAAACATTTTTCTTTGCTCTTTTCAAAGGATTGAGTAATTTTCAGCTCTGCAGTACTTTTGCTTAGAAATTAGTGAAATGATGCGGAATAAATGCAATTTTCAGATCTAAAAAATTTCAAAAATTTTGTTTGATTTCGAGCTTCATCTTGGGCTTTCCATAAAAATTTTTTGATTCTCACGCTAATTGTAGACCAATAGAAAAACTTGAGCAAAATAGCCATAGAAAGCTCAGTGATCAACGCAATTGTTTCTTTTTTCCGTTGCGTCACAAATCGGGCAGTCCGGATGGAGTGAGCGAAGCGTGTGATAATCGTACACCAGAATGGCAATGCAAAGCGGATCATATAAATGTTCCTCGCAAATGTCAACAACATTTTTTATTTTGTTTTACAAGTTAAAGATTTTTGGCTGGATCTCAATGATCCATAAGTCATTTCTCGCTATTGACATTTTAAGTGAAGATTCGGAATCATCTCTACTAATGTCGATAAGAAGATATGTTTTGAAGCTTCCAGACATGTCGTAGATCTTGTTTCTGAGCCACTTGAGAGCAGCAAGAAACGCCAGCTTTTCGATGGGTATTTCTCGCTCTGGTCATTTTGCGCTTTTCGGAGCTTCTTCATTGTTTCACCTGAATTGCCAGAATGAAAAACTCAACAATTATTTGAGCCGACCGACAACTTGAGTGCGCGGGTTTCAAGTGAAACCAGTTGCCTTTTTTGTGGATTTGTTGCACTGCAACTTCTATTCAACAGGAGCAATTGTCGTCCGATTTTTGTTCTCATCCAAGTTTGGTGACTCACATTTTTTTTCAAAACGGCAAATCAGATGTTTCTCAACTAAAATTCTCTCTTGAGCTTCGAGGCTTGAAAGTCGCAGAGTGTTTGAAAGATCTCGAGTGATAGTTCAACTTCCTTGCGAATTCCAGAACAGTTTGCTGACTAACCCAGTTGATTTTTCTTCTTGATATCATAAATATCGAGTACTCAAACAGCAAACTGAGAGCTTTTTTTTGCTTGATTCAGCCGTCTTAAAGAATCAACAATTTCTGCAAAGAGACGCCACTTTCCGACTTTCTCTGTGACCTCTGCCGTTCGTTTTCGTTTGGAATCCTTTTGGCCTTCGTTTTGAACTTTTTTTTCTTCTTTTTTCGGTCGACAGAGATTGTTTAGAATGGGATTCTTCTAAACCGTTTTATTTGAATTTCCTCAGAGTTAATACAAATTATTATCACAATTTTTTTTCCAAATATTTTTTTATTTAAAATTTCGAGATGATAGGATCAATATTTGAAAAAGGATCAAAGCTTAAGCTGAACACTTGAACAATTTTAGATGTGAAAAAAAGGTTTGTGGGAAGTTTCTCGTGGGACATAACTTTTTTTATTATTTAGAATTTCACTGGTTCAACTTTTTTTCATTGCGTGAATAAAAAAATATAAAAAGCCTATTTCGTTGTTTTTTTTCAGTTTCTCGCTATGAAAAAAATTAATTTTTTTAATATAAGATTTCATGTGCACAGTTTGAGCCAGAAAAAAAATTTCAGAAATTTCAAATAGTTGCTGACGCATGATTGAATGATATCGAAATATCTCGAATAACTGAAGTTTTTTTGTCCGGAGCCTTTTCCTGTTTGTCCAGGAATGAAAAACTGAAAACGACGCTTTCTCTGACTCAGAAATGGTTGATATGACCGAAAAAAGTTTTTGCATGAGGATGATATCGAGGAGAATGACCACCCTTCTAATCTCTTGAAAAAAAATGACCGAAACGGAAAACCGTCGAAAACAACCACTTATCGTCGCTTTAATGGCAATGTTTTTCAGTGCCAATCTTATAAAACTGCTTTTTTTACTTTTCGCCTTAATGTTAGGGCCGCCGTTGGCATTGGTTTAGTTAAAATAAACGAATTTTATTATATTTCTAAAATTTTCGTGATTCTTTGAGATTTTTAGGTTAGAAAAAAATATACTTGAAATTTTTCAAGTGATCGTCATTTTTCTATCTAAAGAAGGAATTTCGATTCGTAAACTTATCGAACTGTTTTTTTCAAACAACTTCGCAAAAAAATCTAGTAAATCTAGTTTTCGTTTGGCTGTTTTTGAGCTTTTTCGAACGTCTTTAAAGATAAACATTTATTTTTTTTTCCTATAATCAAAAGTTGCAAACAATTATCTTCTATTTTCGAATAAAATCTGTTGAGTTTGAGACCCAACAGATCGACTTCAAACTATGAGTCATTCTAATGATGAAATTTTGCCAAAAAAAGTAAATTTAGAACAGAGGGACTCAATCTTTGCTCCAAATTACAGTATCTTCCGTTTTGATCCGGTCATTTATCTCGCGAATGTATGCCGAATTTGAGGAGCGGAAGCCACTTACGCCGCCTGTCTGTTTGTGCCTTTTCCCCGCTGAGGGAAAAGTCCTCTCTACAGTCCGAATTCTCTCTCGGCGCCACCTTCCGAAACACGGGTTTTGCAGTTTTATCATATTTTTTTTTCTTCATTTTGCTTCTTTTTATTTGCCTGATTTGCACTTTTATCACTTTGATGGACGTTACAGCCTCAAATTTTCATATTTTTTTACGCCGTTCGCCATGCATGAAAAATTCGTAAAACTGTCGAAAAAAATTCTCGGCCGTAAATTTAGTTTTTAGAATTTTTTTCTTTCAATTCTTAGAACCTATCAGGGTTGAGCTTTTTTTCGTATTAGTAGTTGACGCTAGAAAAAAAGGGCTCAATTTAACAATCCTCAGTTTCTTGATCATGAGCTTTTTACGAACTTTCAGAGAGACTGTCAAAAAACAAAAAAACAAGAAACAATTATTACCATAGCTCTTGTCTGTCTTTGCACAGCATGTGACCTTTTCTCTCCTCCTAGTTGCAGCTCCTGAACACTTCCTGATGTCACTTGGATTCTGTTTGCACTGTCGCATGTGATCTTCAACTTTCCCAAAGAAGCAAAACTTTTGTCGGCTACAGTTTTTATGCAGTTCAGCTTTCAAAGTTGTAAGGTTCACCAATCTCCACTGTCACCACCCAAAAGCACTTTCATATTTTTAAATGAGTATCGAAACTATAACTTTTCAGATTTGCATCCATCTGCGCTCAGTTCGCAGAGGATCCGTAAAGGGATGGGAAAACTCGAGAGAATCGGACGGAGCTTGTGGAAAAGACTCAGTGGAAGAAAGAAAAAGAGCAAGCGTGATGAAGAAGAAAACATCGAAAAAAATTCACGGACTACAGATGAAGTGAGGTCTTCATCAGCTAGTTCCAGCGATGAGGAGACTTACAAGACTTCTCCTGATGTGGTGAAACAACATGAACCAACGACCAGCCCTCAAGTTCACACTGTGCCTCGATTATACATCTTAGCCTACTTAAAGCTGGTTGAACAGAATGTTCGACCTCCAGAACCTCATGAGCACGAGGACATCGCCAAGCAATTGAGAGGCTTCTCGCGGCAATCAAAGCACTCGGACGACATCTCCGGCTACGCTACTGACGACACTATTCTCTCCTCGCTCAACCACATCGACACGAGTCGCGAGGAGTCTCTGGGCTATCATTCGACGAGCGAGCTGTCGCCTCGGGAGCCCTATCAGCACCAGAAACTGGGCCGCCAGCATCACCGTCCGAGCTTCCAGTCGGCCGCCGACCTCGCCTTCGTTCCTCACCCGATGTCTCGGCGCTCTCAGGACCTTCTCCACCGTGTTCCACAGCTCCAGACGTCACTACCGGAGCGAGCTGCGACAATTGACCAGCTGAACTCCATCGAAGATCCGATTGATCGATTCCTTTGCACCAGTGTTTATAAAACTAAAATTATTACAACCGTGTTCGAAGCCAACAACGGCGGTCTTGAAGACGTCTACGACGACGTCGTTGAGGAGATCGACCGTTGGTTCACTACAAAAAATATGATGGCTGTCGCCTGCGAGTTGCACTTTTCTGTACCCGAGAAACGACGGAACAGACACCTCGAGTGCAGGTAAACAGTAGAATACACTTTGATATTGAAAAGTCCGGAACAACACGGATGTTTTCAGATTGAAAGACAAGCTATTGGCGGCTCTCCGAGAAAATAATAAACGACTATTGTACATGAAAGGCATGGGGCGTGGCAAGACGCCGATTAAATTGGCCGAGTCCAAGACTGAAGAAAATATCACCAAGGATATACCGACAGATTCCGTACAAGGTAATTTATTTTTTCTGAATTATTTTAATTAATTTTGACAGCTGTACAGAACATCCACAATCAAAATTTTTTTTTTTTGAACTTTCTGCATATTTCCGATTTTAAGTATTTGAGAAAAATGTTTATGAGTTCAAGCTCTAACTCAACAAATCTTGCAATAATTTTGAGGGATCTACCAGCGGAGCTACACGAGACTGCTGCGCTACCTGCACAAGGAGACACCTGAGTGGCACGCGCCTTACTGGCGACTGCAGGTGTCGCCGGAGCAGCGACGGCCCGCTCCAGAACGCTTTCTGTTCGGCCAAGCCAACGCGACTCGAGCCCTCGCCTCCACGACAGTCGTGTCCCTCAACCTCGTCGGCCTTTCCATCCTCGGCAACCATCGCCGTTCTTGCGACCTTTTCTTCTGAAGCCTTTCTTTCCTCTTCCGCAATACCCAGCGCCCCTTGTACTTTACGTCTTTGTTGCGGGTTTCTCTCATTTTCACAAGTAAATATTTTCAAACAACCTCTCGTACACATTCGCACGCAAATTCATTCCCAGAAAAGTTGATTTGGTATGAACAGACCTAAAAGGTAAAATTGTTTCGTGTGTGAAGTAATTTTATGTGTTGTGTGTTTTTCGTTCAGCATCAACTTCTCAGTTTTCATTTGTAAGAACAATGTTCTATGTATACAAAGTTTTAAACGATCTAACAACCTGTGTCTAGAAATTTGATCAGTACTTCGAGGGACAATCATCCAGTCACAGATTTCATTTATAAAAAGCGTATTTTTGGTTCTGAGAATCTTTTCTTGCAAGAATTGAAGCACAAGAGAAAAACTTTTTTGAAAGAACTTTATTTTCCTGTCGTTTGATCTACGATCTTCTCAGTTTGATAAAAAGAAAAAAGAACAGTTTTGTTGGTCAAAAAAAAAGGGAAATTTTTTCTTTTCAAATGAAAGAATTTTGGTCGTCGTTATCCGTGTTTTCATGTTTGCATAGAAGTTGTCCACATGTTCAACATTTTCAAGTTGACGATTCGATAGAAAATTCTCGAGGTCGAAGAAAAACATCGCTGGGAGAAAAAGTATCGACTCTCGATATGAGTTGATTTTAACACTATAAAACACTATATTGAATGTCACTTACGAAGAGAACTTCTAAGTTGCTTATCATGGGCGACAACACAAATCTGTTTGATGTTTCAAGAATCGTAGGAATTCAGTCAATGTTCAATATCCAATTTCAGTTGTTGATAACGGCGTTTGATCCGAAAGACAGTTCGCAAAACGCGACACGGCTTCTTCGCGTCAACGTCGCACCGAACCCAACCGAAGTACCGCCTGCTTTTGCCAAGGCAGAATACTCCATCTTTTCACATGTAAACTGTCCATTTCAGGGTTCACCTGTAGTGTTTGTGGTTGACGGAAATGTCGAAAAGCCGGTGGCGATTGGAAGAATTTCAGCATTTGACGGCAATGGCAAAGGGGCTCGCTTGTACGAAATCATTTCGAATGGTAGAGTTCACAAATTCATTTTCAAAAAGAGTTTTCAACGGTTATATGAAGTTCATTCTTAACTCGGTATTTTCTGTCTAGCATGGCCCTAATTGACACTGAATGCCTCTAAAACTCGGAAACTTCTGTGAACGTCTCAGTAATTAATTTTGACAGCATTTTCGGTGCATTTTTGAAAGTAAGCTTTATTAGAAAAAAAAATAAGAAAATAAAGTTGAATAAGTGCTTTCAGTTTCTCTTTTTGGCTATTTTTTAAGGACTGAAGGCTTTTTTTCAGTCTCTTGTGAATTGAATCGCTAATATGAGGTTGTTAGAACGCAGTGTTGCCAACTGAGCTGCTGTGAAAGTCAATTTAAAGACTAACGAGCTGGTAAAGTAAATCTTTTAGTAGACTCTGGTGCAAACTTCACGATCGATCACGAATTTGGTGAGATCTCTTACCATCCACAAGGAGCCGTCGAACACGATAAACGAGTCGAGCTTTGCGTCGCTGCATCGTGATTTTCATCGAAATTTACCGCCTCAAATCTATTTTTCAGTAGCAATGGCGTTTTGCCGGAAAAGTGTTCAGAGCTGGACTCGAGCACAGCCAAAGTTGTGGTGATCCTTCGGGGGGCACAAGATATTGCAGCAGATCAAATGAGTGTCCTTAACAACACAGTTGTTCTTATCGGTTCGTTCTGAAGCTCTTCTATTCCTTAAAAAAGACTTTACAGGAGAATCGCTCCAGAATGTGCGAGTTCCGATGGAAAGAGCATCGAAGTCTGACTTCAAATTTTCCAGCGTCTCCTTCACGCCGTCAGTCCTATTGATGTCGATATAAACTGAAAGGCGATTTGCAGAGCGACATTCGAATTGGGACGGGACGTGCAGTCTCCAGAAGGCTCGCTTTCGCTCAACGGCCACACTGGAGACGTCGTCGCGACGCCACGGATCATCGACGGCCCTCAAGGCGTCTACACGGCGATCGTCGAGACAGACAACTCTAGAGGAGCTGCTGGACAGTTCACGAGAAAAGTCAGTTCGTGACTGAGCTGACGTTAATCAATATCAAATATAGTTCCATCATGTTAAAAATGAGAAGAAACTTCGCTACGTCTTCGGGATGTCACGCGACGAGTTCGGCGCCAATGGCAATCAGTTCAAGACGTTGGTTTTTCATGGTTATCATGTAATTCAAGAATGTTCAGACAACTGATCAAAACTATGAATCCACCGAAGGGAATGCAAATCTACTTTGACGAGCCTGCGATAGATCCTCGCAACTCTTCATGGTGATTCACTTTGAATAATTAGTGTTTTCATGGAGACCTTGAAAATTTGAGGGAAGGCTGAGCCAAAAATAAAACCGTTGAACTGAACGAAAAATATTCTCCCACTCCGTTTTATCGGGTTGTCTTCTTCCAGTTTCTTTTTGGATTTACTCTTAAAGGCATAGGGGCAGTAAAAAATGGGGTTTCAGGTAAAAGCAGTATCTTATATAGTTTTTCTTTGCGAATCGAATGGTGTACTCAAAAAATTACAGATTTCACAATGTTAGAAGAAAAAACGCGATTTTACTTCCCCGCCTTTAATTTTGAAAAAAGCTTTGGATCGGTATGCGGACAACTGTTTACAGTAGCTGTGCACGCGATGTTGCGGACGTCTCATTAGACTCGCATTTTGTGAGAAATAACCGGATATCTGCTTCAAATTAAGAGTTTCTTCTCTGAAAAAAATCGATTAAGAAAAACAGAAAACATACATTGATAATAAAGAAAACACAAATAATCGCTATCCCAATCGAAACCTGTGTAAAATCATCATTTTTCACCAGAAAAGCATTTTTGCGATCAAAGTTTGCAAATTATACATGAATAGAAAGCTTTTGTGACGAAAAGAACTTTGGTGACAACAGAAAAAATTTAAATTTGAAAGAAACGAAGAAAAAAGCGAATATCCGGAAGATGGCGAAGCCTGTTGTCCATAGAGCAGCTTTACTGCAAAGCGCCCTTTTCGCGGGAACTCAAACTTTCCTTTCTCCGACTTTGAATTAATTTTTCTCCAAAACTAGGAAGTTCTGTACGTTTCCAAGTTCACCGTTCGATTTGCGATGAAAAGCTCTATAAATTACTGCTTTGAACTGAAACACCGTTTTTTACTGCCCCTATGCCTTTAAAAGGTCTTACAGAAAAAAGAACGTCTGAAATTTCCACATTGTCTTTCGCAGTTTTGAAATGATTGGTTTAAGAAGTCGAATCAAAAAAGAAAAACAGAGTTTTAATAACAAACTTTTCTCAACATGTTATCAATAACGGCAGAATTCGCAGGACCTCCGTATGTTTTCATGCCGCCCGTGATGACGTTATTCTCGACGAGAAGCAGACCATGACGTCACTCACCAACAGTAGTGGGGTGGGCGCCGAACTGGGCAAACTCTACCACGTCTACAAAGTTGTCAACGTCGATGTGAGCCCTTCTACTTGCAAACCAGAATTCGTCAGTTTTCAGCGCTGCGAGACGTCATCAAGCCAGACGACGTCTTCTGCCCGAGGCCTGTCTCTGCCTCTCAACACTCTCGTTCTCTTCGTCGTCGTCGCGATTCTCACACTTCTCTTCGTCGCCTTGCTTCTGTATACTTGCGTCGTCGTCCGCTATCGCCGACGTCTCCACAGAAAGTCTGAAGAACTGAAAAGTTGGTTTTTGCTGTCTCTTCTGGTGACGTCGACCTTGATTGTATTGTTAAGAAAATGATCTCATGAATGTCTCTCACCAGGGAATGGTCTCCGGTCGCAGTGGGATCTCTCAATGAGACCAATTTTTCCAGATGTAGTTTTTCACGCTGATCTCAAATCTGGTCTCAAAAACTGCCGAAGAGCTCTGTGAAAAAAGTTATGGACCCTCAAAAGTCGAAAATTTCAGTGTCTCCGATTGAGCTCATTTTTGGAGGGTGTGTAGATCTTGTCCCTCTGTTCAAGAAAAACCATCGAAGCTTTCACAAAAAAATTTCGGAGCCCAGATATGATCTTTTAAAGCCCCGCCTCACACAAGAGCTTGCGAGCGCGGTGTCCTATTGCGATCCGGCGACCGTCGAAGCAACGGCAGCAAGGAGCAGTGGTAAGGCGGCGGACTGGGGATTACGAGGTCATAGGTTCGGTTCCCACTCTGTGCAAACTTTTTTTGCATTTTTTTCTATTTTTCCATGATTTCGTTTAAGGGCTCCTATTTTTGAGTTTTTGAGGCGTATAAACATGAAAAAAATCTTTTGTTTTTAGCCTATTCGAACATCTAGAATTATTTTCGTCAAAAAAATTTTTTTCATGGAATTTTTTTCGAGATTTTTTTCATGTATATGAGCATGGGCTGGAGTGAGAAAAATTTTTCAGAAAAAAATTATTTTGTTTTTCCATTTTTTTGTTCCTAAAAGATTTATAAGTTTAATTAGTCATAGATACGCCGACATATCCCACAGAAAATCCTGGCTTTTTTTAGACCTCACCGTTCAACTACGACTGATGGAAGTTTCGGAAAATTTTTGCGTAAGTGCTCTTTTTCGAGTTTTGAAGCGTTAAACTGTGAAAGTTCTCCGTTTTGAAACTATTCAAACACCTGGACCTTTTTTTTGTCAAAAATTTCTTCATGTAATTTTTCGTTATTTTCCATGTGTATGAGTATAGGCTCGAGTGAGGAAAAATTTTCAAAAAAATTTTTTTTTGGTTCTTTTTTTCTTTTTTTAAATTTTTATTCAAAGTTTTTTTATTCCATTTATTCATTGATACACCAAAAAGCACATTAGTTTTTTTCTTCCAAAAAAACTTCTTTGAGAGTTGCAGTGATTTACCTATGATCATAACCTTATGCCTGAAAAAAGTTTTTTTGCGCGACTTTCCCGAAGTAGAAAAAAATGAGAGTGCGCAAAAAAACAAAATTTATTGTTGAATAAAAAAATTTCTTTTTCTTTCCTCGAAATTTTCTCTCGAAAAAAAGTCTGACTGGACTGTGAGCTTTCAAAAGTTCCATTAGAACGAATTATTTGGGGGATTTTTGGTCCCAATTGTGTTAAGTATCAATCAGAAGGGATTTCTTTGAAAGTTTCAGCAAAAATTTGAAAAAATGCGGATTTATTTTTTTTTTCTTATGAAGTCGTAGTTGAACGGTGAGGTCTAAAAAGGCAGGAAAAAATTTTTTCTGTGGGATATGTCGGCGTATCTATGACTATTTAAACTTATAAATCTTTTAGGAACAAAAAAATAGAAAAAAAAAACAAAATAATTTTTCTGAAAATTTTCTCACTCCAGCCCATGCTCGTATACATGAAAAAAATCTCGAAAAAAATTCCATGAAAAAAATTTTTTTGACGAAAATTATTCTAGATGTTCGAATAGGCTAAAAACAAAGATTTTTCATGTTTATACGCCTCAAAACTCAAAATAGGAGCCCTTAAACGAAATCATGGAAAATAGAAAAAAATGCAAAAAAAAGTTTGCACAGAGTGGGAACCGAACCTATGACCTCGTGATCCCCAGTCCGCCGCCTTACCACTGCTCCTTGCTGCCGTTGCTTCGACGGTCGCCGGATCGCAATAGGACACCGCGCTCGCAAGCTCTTGTGTGAGGCGGGGCTTTGAAAGATCATATCTGGGCTCCGAAATTTTTTTGTGAAAGCTTTGATGGTTTTTCTTGAACAGAGGGACAAGATCTACACGCCCTCCAAAAATGAGCTCAATCGGAGACACTGAAATTTTCGACTTTTGAGGGTCCATAACTTTTTTCACAGAGCTCTTCGGCAGTTTTTGAGACCAGATTTGAGATCAGCGTGAAAAACTACATCTGGAAAAATTGGTCTCATTGAGAGATCCCACTGCGACCGGAGACCATTCCCTGGTCAGAAATGAAAGATTGAGAATTTCTTGAGATACGTAATTTGGTAGCCAAAGAAATGTTTTCTTCGCTTAGCCGAAATTCCTCTAATAATTCAAAAAAAGAAATGAAAAACTTCGATTTTCAGAAAAAAATCTACAAATTCGGGATTATTCATTGAATTTCCTTCTTTTCATGAACGAAAAAAAGTTTATATAGTAGTTTTTTTTCACATGATTAAATCCGTTTTTATGTTTCGTTTTGACAGCCAGTACCAAGGCCTACCCGTCTCCGTCATTCATTCCAGCCCACTTTCTGTCTCCTTTGTGAGTTTTCATCTTTCGTTTTTTTTTTTCAAACTGTATTCATTTTGCAGGGGACCACCCCCGCCGCCACCTCCGCCTCAAATCGGATACTATTAACAGAATCATATTTTAATCAGCCAGAACTTTATTTCGATACTTTATTAAAAGAAAATAAAAATATAAATTTTCGTTTTAGTCCAAGAATACATAAAATAAACCCGGGAAGGCCATGGCTAAGTTTTCACAGGGATCAGGCATGAACTCGTTGCTGCGCGAAGCAGCCAATGAACAGTTTCTTGAAGCCTCGGTCTTTTTTCGTCTTGGTCGTTCTCAAAATCTGCAGATTCCTCATCCTCCGACACTCCATCAGATGGTCATCAATCAGCTGAAAGTTCCAACATTTCCTTCCTATTCGAAAAAGGTGGGCGAGATACCTTGAGCCGAGCATCGGTCCTTCTTTGGTCTTGCTCAGAAAGTTGGCCGGATTCGGAGGCCCGAGCCCTCGCAGCCTCAATCACGCAGATCGTTACGGTAGCCTGGAAATTTTATTATTGAAATAATTGAGAGTCGATTTCGGAAACCTCGTCACAAACATCAGCGAAAAGGCGACACAAGTAGGCGAGATCGTCCAGAATATCGACTCTTTCTGGATGATAGGCGGGGAAATTCTGGAAACGAAAATCTTGTAAGGGTTTGATGGGGTCAGAAGCACCTTGGCGGCAATGCGGAGAAGCTCGCTGTAGGCCAGCTGCACCTGCTTCCAAATAAGGTCGCGGCGAAGTTTCGCGCAGGTTTTCCGCGACAGTTCGTGCAACTGATAGAAGCCGTTGAGGAAGGCGTCGGCGAAGATCGGAATCATCGACAAAGTGACTTCGCTGAAATCAGAAACACATGAAAATGAGTCCAAAGTCTCTCTGAAACGAACTCAAAAGTGAACTTATCATGATAGGCTTCCGAATAAAGTTTTTGAAAGGCACGAGAAAGCTCGAAAATTGATGACGTGATGTATTTTACAAAAACAAAAAATTTCTTACTTCTCGCTTTATTTTCGAGGTTGAAAAAAGTTGAAAAGTGGAATTCCAGAGCAAAGCTATTCATGAAGATCAAAAAGAAGTCTAAGGAATTCTCCGCAATTTTTAAACTGCATGAAGGAGTTTTAACCAGATAACAGTGAATATACAGCCAAAAAGTTATTTTTTTCAGTTGGGCATTTAATCTTGTTTAATTGTGGTTTACTTCCATACTTTGAATCCAACAAAGATCAAAGACGAACCCCTCGAGCATCTGCGTCATGGTGGTGGTGCAGGAGGAGATCTTGTTGCTGCGTTCATCGATGGTGTCGCGCGGGGAGACGCTTCTGAAGACGTGGTGCAGTCGCTGGACGAGGACCGACGGCGTCAGAAGCATGCAGATGGCGGCCACGGATTCCTGCCACAAGGTGTCGTCTCCGCGGAGGGAGACTCGCGAGTGGCGCGACGACAGCGAACGCGACAGGCCGCTGCTTCCTGAGATCCAATTTTGTCGGTTATCAAGGTTAGACTTTCAGAAAAAGATTCCGATTTTTTTGACATTTTGACAACTGAAAACACAAAAATCTTAAGAAAAAATTTCAAAACTTATAAATTTGAAGCGTATTTACCAGCTAGTTGTTTTTAATACGAATAAAGATGTGATAGAAATATATTCTTAAAATCTCGAAGAAAAAATGTTGAAAACTTCTATATGACCAGAATCATTTTTTTTTCTTCTTGGATTAATAATTTCTTATTTGTCTCTCTCCCTCCAATAGAGTTCTTCTTCCCATTCTCCAGGCTCTCAAAATAGCGATGCGCGCTTTAGAGGACTCAAAAAAGGGCCGAAAGAGAACAGAGGAAAAAACGAACCACTGGAAGATGGCTTGTGCTGCTCGTCGACAGGACTCTCGAGCGTTTTCTCGAGAACCGAACTCAGTTTGCTCAGGCGCGAGAAATTGTGCACTTGCTTGTTGTGAATTGCGCTGAAAATAACGGTAAGCCGATAGTTTCGAGTCCCGAGGCTGATAGCCCTGCGTTTTTGCCGGAAACGACCTTTCACCTTTCCATGTACAATAAGCCTTGCTGCCGTGTTTGAAGAAAAAAAAAATTGAAAAGTTATCGCGGTGAATAACATTTCGCAGTGATTTCGCAAAGCATACAAAACTTTCGGATTGAAAAGTCTTAGCGTTTATTTCTTATAGATCATTCATAATACGATTCTGAGGTTTTTCAACTACGAGAAAAGGTTTTTGACAATTTTCTAATACTCAGAATAGAGTTTCTTTAACGGAGCATTAAAATATTAACAATTTACTCTTTTTGAAATATCAGAACTCCAGTTTTTTGTAAGAAACATATTAAGTTGGGAAGTTTCCAAGTTTCAAAGCCCTTCACTGTTTCTCACTATGTTTCTAAATTGCAGAACGAACGGTTGCAGACTGCGTCTCAAAACTTTTCGAGTGTGTTCAAAGCCTTTTAGCAAAAAAATAGAACTCTAGTATCCAATAAGTACCTCAATGCAAGAGGAAACATGACGGACGTGGCTTCGATCTTCCGGATGACGTCATCGAGAGAGGAGAGGGTGGAGGCGAGCAGATTCTGCTTGTCGCTGAGCAGGACCGAGCAGACTCGTCGGCCCGAGTCCTGGAGTTGGGCCGAGCGGCGGTCGAAGGAATCGGAGCAGTCGACGACCTTCTTTCGCAGGGCTCGCAGTTCCGACAGTACCTGGGAGCATCAAATTAGGACCAATTCATCTCAAACTTTGGTAACAATTTTGATAGGTTTTGACCTCCTATGTTCCATTTTAATTCGTTTATTCATGTTCAACCCTTTCTCAAACCAGAAATGCGATGCTAGAAAATAGAAAACCTCTTTTTTAAATTTTCTTTTGCTATTACTTATAAAAATCTTTTGAACGAAAAAAAAAACTTTTTCCAATAATCTTTATCACTTGGAATGAAAAAATTTTGATTCGAGATAAAGAGCGAATTTCTCCATTGAGATTATTCCTGTTTTACCCTACAATCACCCAATTTTGTGGACTATATCGCAGCGAGAGTAACGCTATACCGCGGGGGAGCCGCGAGCGATATCGCTCGCCTCTCGCTGCGACCTCGCAAACGTCTTGCGCTATATCGCTCTCTGAAAAATTTTTCTTCAAAATAGTTTTTTTCTTGTATTTGATTGATTTCATCATAAAAGTCAAAAATAAAGCAAAAAAACTGTTTTTCAAATTTCAAATTTTTGAGAGGGAGCGATATGGCAGCGAGACTTTGACGAGGCCGCAGCGACATGTTGACGAGATCGCAGCGAGAAGCCTTGGCTATATAGCGTGCGGCCCGCTGCGATATCGGCAATTATGTTGGGTGATGAATCTTGAAACGGTCGACTTGCAGCTCTTTGATCGAGGTGATGAAGAGAAAAGTTCTCACCTTGAGCTGGTTGGCCTCAAGCTGTGCAAACGTCAGCAGTTGATGGCCATTGTGCGCGTTCACACAACATTCCAGACAAGCCAAAGTCTGAAACAGCCTTAGTTACAGTATAAATAGAAAAAAGAGATACTAGCCAATCTCGAAGAAGACGTGCAAGGGATACAGTAGCGCGCAACGCGGGAAAGTTGCTTCTGGCTCATTTTCCGGTGGCAGTCGGCGCATCTGAATACTCACATGGACACTTTCAACACTTAACGTTCGAAATCGAAATTTCCTGATAGATCGAATAGTTGCAGAACGGACCGCTTCAGTCTCGATTTCATAACTTTTGAGCACATCAAGCATTTCTGTTAATTTTTAATTGCTTTCATTAACTTTAAAGACAAATTTTTATGAGGAGGAGGAAGAAAATTTAAAAAATTTGTGTTGAAAAAAAACTACGATGGTCACGACCCATACGGAAAAAGTGAATTTTCTTTGACTGCGAAATATGCCAGCGCGATGTTTGAGGATATAAAAAATTTGAGGATTGAACTATAGTGTACCAAAATGTGAATTATCTTTTCAACGAATGTAAGCCTTTCGAAGAGTGATCTTTTTCTCTCAAATCTTCAGTTTGGAGACAAAGTTCAGATATCTATTGATACAAGCAAAAAACCTCAAGTGTTTGAGGTCGGTGCTCTTCTCAGCCAACGATTTGCAGTGCGAAGTGAGCGGATCGACGCGCTTGGATTTTATCGGCACCCCGGAAGATGAGGAAGGTTGGACGGCATGGGACTTATCCGGCAGGTAGATGACCGTCACGTTCGCCTCTCGAGTCCGTTGTTTTTCGAGTACCTCTGCAAACTTTTCCTATAAATATTCCGTTTCTTTTTCGAGTAACGCACTGCAAAGATCATAATTTGTCGGTGCGGTTTTGGCAACTTTCGTTGGGAACTGAGCTCTGCAGGTTGGGCAATTGATGGAGTCCAGGAGGTAGTACTGGAATAATTGATTTCGTTTGTGAATTTCCTTGGAGCGGATAGTATCTTCCGTTGAAGTTCAACAAAAATACCTCTTGGTGACAGCAAATACTGAAAAGACAGCTTTCGCAAAAGTTGTGGCCGCAAGGAAGAAGTTTCGGCGCCCGCGTAGACGCGTCAAACGGCTCTAGGCAGACCTCGCAGCCGACGACGTCTCCGCCATCAACCAGAAATGAAACAAAACGGGAAGAGTCCGCTGCCATCTCCCAACGTCTTCTCTGAATACCATATTTTAAAAAAATTCGCGAGAAGTAATAAAAAAAGACCGGCCATTGTATCGTCTACATCAAAAAAAAATATAAGAGGGAAAAAATTGCCTTATAATTATGAATTGAAAAAAAAAAATAAAACAATAAAATAAAAAAACAAATGTTGAAAAAGGCGTGTTCATCGGACAAAACGAAAATTGCTTCGAAACGCAAAAAAATTGCTCCAAAACAGTATAAATATTTTGTTTTAAAGCAATTTTTTTCGTTTCGAAGCAATTTTCCTTTTTTTTTCCTATGAACATACCATAAAAAAAGAATATTTTGCGCGTAAGTGAAAGTGTATCTGCAAACGTGCGTCACAGTGACCTTTGAGCATTTTTCGATTATATTTTTTAATTTAAAGCAATTTGTTCTATTTTTCTTTCTCATGGAAAGTCTTTTGAAGAAGTTGATTATTGATCTCCGAAAAGCTTTTTGTAATGTCTATCAACCAATTAGAGAAAACGTTCGTAGTAACTTTTTTCAAATCTTCATTTTTTCTGTGATTTTTTTTGCACACGTTCCAGATGAGTCCGAAGTTTTTTAAGGCTGATGAGTCCGAGGGTTTTAGGACTGATGTCAGCCGTTTTACTCTTCTAGATATCAACGGATCAAGCAGAAAAAAAGCAGGTTAGATAAAAATAATTAAAAGGAAAATGTTCCATTTTCAGTTCTTCCACTTCTCGCAACATCTACGGGCTAGGAGCAAAACCAGGTTAGTTGTAAAAACTGGATAAAAAACCGTTGGAACACGTTATTCTTGCGAAAATATCGGCTGGCACAAACCGTGCCAGATGATTGAGGGTTAATTTGGCTGTGCAGATGTCGCAACGTATTCGGTTTCGCGCGCCGCACGCAGTTACAGTAACTGGATGAGATTTTTGAAAGATTTGAATATGAAAGGTTCGGTCGGAATTTTTTCTGAGCGAATTATATTTCGATAAAGTATTTTGAAACATTTGAAGATATAGACCAAAAGTCATGCGCATTTAAACCGAAGTGCACCTGTCACCTGGCAGAAAAGACAAAACGGTCACAACACAGCCGATTAACCGCTTATCGGAAGCGCTCATCGCGAAAACTGTAGCGCCAGATGCGGCTTTTCTGTTCTTTCGTTTTTGTTTAAGCTCCGCGAGAGGCTTCTGCTCCAGGTGTTCAGATTTTTTTTTTCAATAAAATAAACTAAGATCATGAAAGTTATTAGAAGAGCTTATAAGGTGGCTAAGTAATAGACGGTACAAAAAATAGTGAAAACCGAATCATAAACCAAAAAAGTAACAAAGAAAATTTCCTCAAAAAGTATAGAGGAACTTTCTGAATTTTTTACACGTCATTTAATTCTCTATTTTTAATCATAGTAATTTTCGAGATCTAAAGCTTCACCAGGAAATCGGAAAATATGTGATGGCCGAAAAGAAAAAAAGGGCTGCAAGAACTCGTTGAATCGTATTAGGGTCAAACATTGGGGTCATATAGGTTATTCATATCAAACTGATCAATTCAAAACCAAAAGCATCAGAAAACTATTTAAAACTTGGTATCTATTCACACCTTTGCTCAGAAGGTATGATTACAGTAAAAAAAGCCATATAAAAATATATTTTTTTAAGAGAGGAAGAGGTCCAGAAGTTGAGCTCAAAGTTCTAACCGCAACTGAGAGAGGTAATCAGAAAAAAAGGAAGCAAAAAGAGGTGTGGCTTTTTTTAGTACCGTCGGAGGGAGGGGGCGTGGCTTGTTGCCGCCCGATCTCCTGCTGCTTTCGGCGGTTCCTTGTTTGATTGAGACGATTTATTAATTATGAATGATTTATGAAGAAAAATTCTGAATTATAATAACTTAATGTAGCCAAAAAAATGTATTGCTTCAAATTTTTTTGAATTTGTTTTGAACCTCTCTGAAATGGGGGCTAATACAACAAAAAATTGTTTTTTTCAAGTAATTAATCCAAACGCTGACAAGAAAAACAATCCTTTTCTATTTTTTTATTGACGATATCCAAAGGATTCGTGAATTTTTTTTTCGCACATATTTAGGAATTTGCTTCTCAACGGACTGGAAGGAATGAGTTTGAGTAGGGAATATCACCAAAAAACTCACAAGAAAAAAAAAACTTTTTCAAAAGTTTATCTTTGTTTTGGGAATCACTTGGAGTAGTTTAATTAAAAAATCAGAAGTTCTTTTTTCCTCTTTTCCCACATAACTGCGACCTCAATAACCGTTCACTCAACCCGATAATCGGCCACATCGGAAACGATGAATATGAAAAAAAAACGAACAAGGACACCTGAAAACAGGTGTTCGTCCGTCTTTTTTGATTGTCCAATACCGACCTTGAGATCTCTCGAGGTTGTTCTTGTGATGAATAGTGGGAAGAAGAACAATCGCTCTTGAAAGAATTCGGAGGCAGGCCGAGACTACCGCCAGTCAGTCAGTGGATTAGCCTCGGGGGTTGCGCAATCCTCGCCAAACGGTTCCGTTTTTTGGCGGCGGCCGATGGCGTCAACACGCACAAACATTGGAATAAGACGGATCTGTGGGGATACAACCACTTGCGCAATCAAAAACCATATCAACTACCGTCTGATGCGGTGGTGCCTTGAAAAAAAGAGGGTTAATGAAGTCCGCCGCATTAATAGTGGTTTTCCAGACCTCAAAGTTTTAGTCTTGAAAAAATGGGCTCGAAAACCGTTAAGGAAAAACGCTACACGTCGCTGATAATCACTGAAGTCCGTTTAAAAAATCTCGTTGATATTAAATTTTGAAGCAACGTTTCTCACAAAGAGAAATGCTTCATATTTCTTTTTTAGAATTCTCGCCATTTTTCTCCTCCTTGGAAATGACATCTTCCGCACACCTGGGCGTCGCCGTGCGGGAAATCACAAAGGCAACGTTGCCGTGACCTACTCATACATGAGGCTAAACAACACCTTGCTATGGAAATCGCGCCTTTTCTTTGTCGCGATAGTCGAACTCGCCGCAAGTCTCGATTAAAATAACCAGAAATTCGAGAAAGGGCAACAAGATTGAATGATATCATTATATAACGACAAGCCGTTAGAGATTGAGCCTTTCGGATAAGACAGACGAGCCTGTGGCAGGGCCTTCGCTGTCAGATCAACTACCATGATAGCGGGCCTCGGCAGGTTCATCGGCGTCGTTAAAAGACCCACGAAAACGTTCGTTCTCTTAGTCATAGTATCCTTTTATGGACTTCAAGTCATTATTGTAACCGAGATGATGAAGGCCGTTCAGGTCCTGTCACAGTCGCTATATGGAGTTCTCTGAAAGTTTTAACCACTATATAGTTCGTGTCAAAGTTTGAAATTGAAAAACATCTAACAGATTCTTCTTTCAATGAGGGATTTGAATCATCTCTTACTTTTTTTTTGTTAGGCTAATTTGACCTGATCAGACTCTTTGGCGGACGTGTCCTGTGACTCAAAAAAGAGGAGAGGCGTCTACCAGATTACTGCATGCACCTCTTTGCCCCCAGTTCAGGTGGCTAATATTTGACACCTTGGCCCAAATATTTATCCCTAATGTGTGATGAAAGTGATTGTAAACCGTCGCATTCCCAATTTGCCATCTTAATCGGCGTTTTTTATCAATCCAAAAAGGGACGCTAATTAAACGCCGCTTGGAGGATTTTATTGCGTTCACACACTTGTTCCAATAATGACCATTAAAACTTCTTTTTTCAAAGGCAAATCAAGCCAATTTTTAGTACAAAACTTCGGATATTGATAAATTAAAAGTTTATGAGAACTAGCTCGGATATTTAAATCATGTTAGTAAAACTAAATAGAAAGTTCTAAGCATCAATAACTTCAGAAAACTATTTTAAAAAAAATTTTAACAGCAGTCCGGAGCCTTATTGAATTTTCGCACTTTTGGAGCCTACCAAGAAGATTATTTACTAGAAGCTTCAGAGCCCTCTGATAATTTTCTAACTGAGATTCGATTTCATGTACTAAGCTACTATATGGAATTTCAGGACAAAGACACCCAAGAAAAGAAGTTTTTAAAGTTTGGTTTTTTTTTTCGCACGAATCCAAGTAAGTTAATTAATTTTCAGGGTATAATATATAGAAAAGTGGTTCAGGCAATTTTCAAAAAAAAAATCTCGATAGTTTTGAGTGAGTTTACCTCCCATTTTTTTATTCTAATAATACTGAGTGGAAACTTTTCCAAGAGGCTTCAAACAGAATCAATCTTTGAATTTTCCGTCGCTCGGTAGTTTTTACCTACCAAAATCAGATAACAACTCAGCCATAATAGCGTATAACAAGTTTTGTGTTGTTTCCAGAAGCAAGAACCACTGGCCATAATAAGACAATAAATGCGGATCGGAAACGCAGTTTGTCAGGGTCAGAAGCATGGAGAAAGGCCCTAATTCGATCAGGCACGCGTCACGGACAGACAGTTATGTGGGAAAGAAGTCGTTAACGATACGCCAATCGTGCCTCTGGGACTGTCCTAAACAGCACCCCTGGTCTGGTTATTCATAAATGGCAGTCGAACGAATATTCAAGAGAACTCAATTTGAACTCGCATATTTCTAAAGCTCAACAGAATTCTGTTTTTTTTTTAGTTTCTAGAAACTAATTTTTCGAATTTATTTAATACAAAATGATGTACTCGGGTGTTTGACAGTTTATGAACTCCTCAATAGTTTTGTGTGTACAGAAAAGGACTTGATGCATTCCGGAGCCCCCTGCCGTCGTCGACCGGTCAACACGTTGTTTGGAGAGGCGATTCAGATGAAGGAGTCGTGCCGATGACGTCGCGCGCATGGCGTCGCGCAAACAATCGTCCGACGGCTTCACGCTGCGCTTCTGCACACACGTCGGCACTTCTGAAGCTGTCGGAGTCTCATATCGGGCTAAGCGACAAAATTTTCATGCGGTTCAAGTTTATTCTGGCTAAGAGAAAACATAGAAGATTTTGAACCTAACGCAAGCAACATTTTTAAGTTTCATGAGAAGCTTTGTTTTTTTTTTTTATTGCTTGAAGAGTAAAAATTCTCCCAAAACTGAGTAGAAAACTTTTCTTAGTTCGAATTTTTTTTCACATTTGGAGTTCCATTTCTTTTTTTTTCAAGTTTTCATCATAAAAGGTACAACCTGGAAGATTGAAATTTCTTCCGATTTTTTTCTCTTTCAAAAGTTAAAAAAATTTTTAAACTCAAAGCCTAATCCGAATTTTTCAATTTTCCACCAATACTTTTCATGTAGTATTAAAATATAATACCGTATTCCTCAATTATTTTTCATCAGATGTTCATTTATTTCTGAATGAACCAATACTGAATGAAAAAGTCCTGAAAAGGTCACTCCCAGGTTCGGCGTCATAAAGTCATCAAACAAATGGCAATTGGGACCACCGTATACCTTGACATATGGCATGTTATTTTGCGGTCATCCCGTAATTTGAATGAGTATTTTTGTGGTTTGTCAGGCACAGACAAAACTAAGAAAAAAGAGAGAAATTTGAAACTTTCAGCCGTTTTGAAACGACTCGCCCTGTCTACGGAAGACAATGACGGCCACTTTTTTTGCTCTCACCTTTTCGCGGCGCAAAAAAGTTGGTGCTGCTTTCTGAATTCAAACTTCCTCTATGCCGATTTGAATCAGTCCAGCAACGAGCTGGAGAGGAGGGTACGTCGTAATCTTTGATAAAGATGCGAAGCCTTAGTGGGCGTGAATTCCAAGCCCAAATTGAAAGATTTTTTCGTCTTGGTTATTATTTTATCATTCTTAATCAATCATCCATAATTATACCAGATAGTTTTTCACTTTCTCAAATAAATTGTCCTCTTTCATTCTTCAAAAAAATTTCGCGTTTTTTGTAAGTTTGGATGGCGCCGATTTGTCTGCCGCGCAACCTTTTGATATAACCGAAAAGATGAGCCAATTAGGGGAAGAAATGAGCCGGAATGGCCTCAAAAAACGTCTCTTCTTCTTCATACCGCAAAATAGCAATCGAAAATAAATGGATAATGGAGGCCGATTTGGAATGTTGCCAGCACAAAGGAATTTCTAATTCACGCCGGACTGGCGCCCAATTATCCTTGAATTAAACATTACGTCGATTTGTCTCGCGGAATTCGATTTCATGCTTATATATTCACACCCAAATTTGAACCCAAAAAATTGGTATGTGTAATTTGTCCATAGTTTCCCACCATATCAGGTTTATTCCGGGAAATTTCGAACTTCTAAAACAGATTAAAAAAATAGTTTTGTAGAAAAATTAGTCCAAGATCAAAGTTTTAAGAAGTTTTTTTGTGAAGAATTTGATTTAAAAAAATCATACTAGAAAAAAATCCATTTTCGATTTCAAACTTGTTTTTTTGCTGACCGTAATCGAGAGCTATCTTTTGAACATACTCATTAATTGTCAAATTTTCACTATTATCCTTTCACTCATAAAATAGCTGCATTTCAAACGTTATGTAGAAAATGAAAAACTCGTTAATATATCATTTGATGTTGAAAATACGTTGACATGAACAACAAATGATTCTCTAGGAGTTTTTAAGAAAGAAGAAGTGTGGTACCATGAATTTTAGATTTTCTTCTTATTTCCCAAGGAATTTATCGAAGTGTCCTTTCGAGACATGAACGTAACCATATGGAAACCGAATAGTAACGAGTCCTTAACTCGAGTACTTTTTTGCGCAACGCCGGGATTTCAGGCCGGCGTCACCCACTACAGGAAATATGCGAATCGTCGCGGATTACAAAAAAAAAAAGGCGTCCATCTGTTGCGGCTATTGTCCACAGTCTCGTACTGAACTGAACTTTTGTTTTTGGGTTTTCACTGAAAAAAAATCTTTCGGTTTGGATTTTGAAGTTTCGTTCTGTCAAACGGCGTTTTATGACCGTAGATAGAAGCTGTTAAATCTTCTGAATTGTGAACAGCTCTTTAAGACAATTCGATTGATACTCAAATAATTCTGTCAACGAAAGTATGTTTTTCCTATAATAACTCGAAGAAAGTTCATGTTTTGCCTGTTCCATTAGAGAAATCTAAGATGGTTATCTTTCTCGAAGTTTCAGTCCGATATAGCGGTACAAAAACCACAACTGATGTACTTAGCGGCGGAGCGCAAATGCCACGAGACGATGGCTATCTTCCGAGGGACCGGTCTCTTTGCATAATTGATTGTTTATGTCCAGTCCGCTTTCAACACGTTCCTCTGCCAGAGGTTCGAATTTATCTTTCGAAACTATCGAAGAAGAAACATCGCTACCTTTCCAGGGGTTCAGAAACTGTTTATTCGTTGTGGCTGAAATGAGAGTTTTGAGAGAAAATTATCAACTGTGCAAAAAGTTTTATGGAACAAAGAAGAGCCATTGTTTAATGGCAGAAATAGGCGAAGACCGCAAGGAGAACCGAGACGAAGACAGACATCGAAGACGACGATTTCGTGATGACTGTGTCAGTTCCGTTCCCCTTAAAAAAACCGATTTGTACCTTTTCGAGTCTGCAAAAATCTTTTTACAGGCGGCTAAAATATTAAATATTTTTTTCTGTGAGAGTTTAAAACAAATATAAAATCGCCTTTTGATTGTACTTTAATTTTTCTAAATATATTTTATATTGATAGTTGTTTTTTTCTTGTAATAAATTGAAATTTTTTTAATCTAAACTTCAGACTTCTTCTTCATTTTTTTGATCAGATTACTTATAGAAATTTCCCCCATAAAAAAATTTTTTTCCAAGGTTTTTTTAAATTTTTTTAAGTTTAAAAAAATAACTCACGACTTCCACGACTGTATCGTCACCCAGAAGAACCTGTGTTTGATCGAGGGCTACTAAATTTTTTATAGGCTTTCAGATATTCCAATTTTGGATCAAAAATTTTTTATCGCGTTACTTTACTTTTTCAAAACTGAATTATTCAGTTCTTCAGATAATTCATTGTTTTCGAGTCATTAATTTGGTGAGCAAACCTGCGGCGAAGACTTGGGCGCCGAGGAAAAGGGCGAGGATCATGATCTTCATTTTCGCCGTCGTTGAACAACCCCAGCTGAACCGCCACTCAACGCGTTTCCGGCTGGCAATAGAAAGTTTTCCTTTTTTGAAAAAGAAAAAAAGATTCACAAGTTTACGATTCAGGCAACGATGGTTTTATATCGCTTTCAGATATGCATAAAACGTCGCCAGAATAAAAAGGCGGAAAATCCCACGATCGACGAGAAAAAAAGAGATGCAAATTCGAGATGAGGTGATTCAACCGGTACTTTTATGTTTCCTTTATTCCCGGTGAGCAAAACTTTACTGTTATGGTTCGAAGAAAGGGAATATTCGACGTGGGTGTGTGAATCAGCGGAAGGAGAAATCATGTGAGAAGTCAAAAAAGAAATGGTACAAAAATGAATAATTGAAAACAGTAGGCAGAATTTGGAGCTGAACCCAGCGGAAAATTGGTTGTAACCAGTCAAATTAAATTCTCAAATCCCCATTCAGATATTCTAATTATTTATTCATTAGGCTAGCCCCGTCGGAGTATTTGAAAAGATAGATTAAGGAGTGTGGGCGTAAACAAGTTCAATAAATTTCGGCTGTACGATACGAAAAAAGTTCTCCATGATGTGTTTTAAGAAATCGAAATCAAATAAAATGCGAAGTTAGACAAAAACTGAATGGAAACGGTTTGGAGAACGGCTTTTGTCGGTTTTTTTTCTGCACTCAGCTGTGCAAATCCCAAATCCGACGCATTTCGGTCAACTTTGCAGAAAATCGCTTTGCTTTTGGTTTTTCTTTTTTTTGAGGCGTTTTGTACAAACCAAGCCAAGCAAAAAGAAAACCTGAAAATATGAAAACAAAAAGGCGCTACCTACAAAACTGAGTTTGTAGTTAACGATTCAAAAAGCCTTTCGTATTCCTGCGAGTATAAAGAACCAACATAACACTAGAAAAGATAAATTTGAAAATTCAATTTTTAGATTTATCCTACAGAGCTAACATTTCGAAATGAAAACAGATGTAAGAAATGGGAAATTTACCAGAAATAAAAAATCGAATTCTCAGTTTATTTTGGAAGAAGGCTTTATATTAGTACTGGCGCGCGCTCCAAAAAATGAAAAATGCAGCTAACAGGATTTCCATTTTACATGCAGCTTCTTCTTCTTCAAAAAAAGAACTCGGAACCCTAATCTTATCGCTGCGGCCCCGGAAAAGCTCCTTTCGAGGCAAATCTTGCTCGGCACGCGGTTGTTTTGCTGAAAGCCTTTTCATCGCATATTCCTCCCGTTTGGCTTGTGTTATACATTCTTCTGAAGAGCATGTAACGAGTTTTTTCTTCTTTTTTTTTGCTGTCGACATCACCAGCTATAAAATGTTTATTGGCACTCGGAGAGAAACCGCGCAGAAAAGCATTCAATGACGGACAGGAAAAAAGAGTGTTGTAAAAAAAGAGGAAAGCGGAAGCCCGTATTGTAAAGTATAGTATGAGTTGTAAAGGAAAGAAGGAGCTCAGGAGTCGTTGGGCGCCCGTGAGGAACCAAGGACTTCCCGGTTCGAAGAAGAACTGCTTCCAGATTTGCCGCCGCGGTTATAAGAAGCGTACTCGTAGTAAAACTGCGCCAACAACGCAAAAATGATCATCACCAGCACCATCAGACCGCCGCACACGAACATTTGCACTGCCTGACATAAAATTGGTCAATTTTATACCATTTTTCAGCAGTTATTCTCAAATATCGACCTCTTGGCCATTTCAGACTAACTCCATTGCTATTTTCCGTTGAGTCATGAAACGATTATGTACAGGACTGTTGAAAAAAAGGTTTTTTTGAGATCCAGACAGAATAATTCAAACTTATATCGGAATAGAAACCTTTTGAAATTTTCGCCTTCAAACAGAACTAGGTCTCTATCGAATGAAAGAAAAGAAAACTTTTCCAATAACTGACCACGTCGTCCGAAGTTTTGAACAAAGTCATGAAGATGACGATCAAATCGCCTCCGCCGACGGTCAGCAGCCAAATCGCCTGTACGACGGACTTCAGTTCAGGAGAAGCCTAGTGACAACCATTTTAACTCATTTTCTCACCAAAATGAACCTCAGAATAAGCAAATTCGATTCCAGTGATGCTGACGAGAATCTCAGCCGCTGTGATGATGACATACTGCGGAATCTGCCACAGAATATTGACGTGGTTCCTTTGCACGACCGTGTGTTTCGTCATTATCAATTCCTGAGCTTGTGACGTAGTGAGGAACAGTTTCCGGAGTCAAACCGACGAGCTGCTGTCTCTGATCGTGACCACCGTAGTGTACACTGCACCCATATCCGTGTTCACGATTCCCACACCTTTCAGTGGAACTTGAAGCTGAAAAAGTGTACTCCTGCTTTCAAAGAAAAAAAAACCGATTTTTTTTTCAAACCGTTTGAGATGCCGTCGGGTGCGAGTTGACGTCGTCAGCCACAAGATAGTTAATGTAGGACAGTTGATAACTGTAACGAAACATGAGCAAAATTACTGTGAATGAGACAGACTCTCCAGGGCGGATTGGCAGAGATTCGAAGACGAGGTTTTTGATTGGAGCCACAGCGCCGGTCAGATAGTTGTACATGTCGACGGCAGTTCCCTGCTTAGGCGTCAGCTCGAAAAATCGGCTGAAAATCAATGATTGGAGGGCTAGTCGGAACGAGAGCTCCGACTCTCTCTGTTTGGGGTCGCAAGGTTTCTCGGAGTTGGTCTCCTCGTCCATTTTGCAGAAGGCGAGCATTCCATCGTAAGGATCGTCGCCTAAGCACGACTCCCAGATGACTTCCGATGGGAGCTTGTTGCACGGCAATATCAAGTTCAGACTGAGAACCCAGAAACTTCTTCAAGTAGTTCTAAAGTGACAACCTGGTGGTAAATTGTCCTTCACCGCCTTCCGGTTTCGAAATGGAAGTTGGCGCGTAGCTCCATCCCAGAGGCGAAAGGACCAAGTTGTAGGTCTTTCCGCCTTCCAATTGTAGTTTCGCCACGAATTTAGGACAATTGGGAGCAGTGCTCAAATTGGAAGAGATTTTTGTGTCTGTTTCTGAACCACGAACCTTTCAATCGAAATGTTCGGCTGCAGCATTCCGTCCTTGAAACGCAGCAAACTGTACTTCTCTTCGATTTTATCATCTTCTAGTGATGAATTTGGTGGTAGAGCGAAAGTATCGAAAGTGGTGCCGCTGATTTGAAACTCGCACGAGGGAAACGCGTTGATTATGGACAAATGTGCTGCGTCCGCAGCAGGGACATCGGCTAATGTTTTCTGAAAAACGCGTACTCTCTTTTTATAAAGTCTATTTTTACTTCTTTTTTAATCATTGTTGAACTCTTAGGTTGAATAAAATTCTCTATGATTCTCTCACATCAACTGCCATTTGAAGGAAGCCACAGACAGCAAACGAAACCGCAGAAAGGAAAAGTCCGGCCGTGATTTTTCTCAAAGACCTTCAACAGCTTCAGTCAGTGATAAGCTAGGAGAAGATCTTGTACTCACGTCAATTTGATGCCCATTTTTTCGACTCCAGGAAAGATGAGGAGCTGGAAGATGGGAATGAAGAGCATGATGAGGACGGCGTTGAGCGTGCTCATCTGGTCGGGCAGCAGCGACCAAAACGACGTGATCTTGCCGTTCATCGCCACCGCCTGCATGACCCACGTCGAGCCTTGCTGGTCGTACAGCGCCCAGAACATCGGAATCGGCAACATCATCACGCAGACCCGCACCAATCGTTTCACGTCTTCTATGAAGCCTACCTGGAACCAGTTGCAATCGGACTCCAAGAAATATCGAGCCTACTCACCTGAGCACATGTGCCTTCATTTTCAAGGCACCTTTGGTCTTCTTTGCAGTCGTGGTCGTTCATTGCATGGTCCAGCCAGTGTTCCTTCCTTTCTCTTGATTTGAACTTGTTTCCAACGGCGCTCTGATTGTTTCATTCTGGATTCATTTAAAAATACCGCTTCTGGTAATTGATCTTCAGAGGTCCTAATTTCAAAAGTCGAATAATTCCTCTCTTCACACAACGAAATAAAAAAAGAAAAATTTTCTGCGTCTTCTTCCCTCATCGATGATTTGTTATATACACTGTTTTGACTTTTATGAACCCTCAATTACTGAAAAGAGAGCGCACATGGTCTAGACTGCTTCAAGAATGCAGAAAGACTCTTTTTTCTTGCTACGATCACACAAATTGGAACTTTTAACCGCTCTACTCCTTTATTATATGTTTAATATGGGAGTGGAGATTTGATCTATTTTGAGGGAAACATACTGTAATAGTCTTGACGACGCGGAAAATGACATTTTCTTTCGGCGGAATCTTTTTGTAGCTGAACGAGCCGGCCATGAAGATAACTAGGAAAAAATAGTTTTTCTATGGAATTTCAAAAAAACCTGTAGCCAAGACCATCAAAGCTGCAGGCACACCGAACGCAAGTGGATAACACGAATCGCTACCCAAGCAAGGGGTCGCTCAAGTGGAGTCTTCAGATATTTCTTCTCGGTCTCTAACCTCGGAGGTACGGCGTCAGGTACGAAGAGATTGTTGACCCAGCGTTAATCGAAAAGTAGAATACCGAGAAAAACATGGCGATCATCTTCAGATAGTGGGGTTTGAACTGAATTTGTTTGGTTGATCCCTTGATTCTGAAGATTGCGACTCACCTGATCTCCTCCGAATGCTGAAACACATGGCTTAATGCCACCTGTGCCGATGGCAATAACGAGGAGACCAAACAAATCGAGGCCGCTGAATCAATCGATACTTCTGAGCTACGAATCTGGAGAATACTAACGGATGAACAATGTGACCTATGCTGAAAGACGAGGAAAACGTCAGGATCAGCTGTCCCACCGCGTAGAGGATCGAAATCGAAAAAAATTGTCCTGCAACACTTTTTTTATTTTCTAAATATATTTTTCTCGAATGAAGTCTTCATTATGAAGAAACAAGAGTGAAAAAAATATGACTCTATAGTAATTTTTTTAAAAAAATCAAAAATTCTTCGTACAGAGTTTTCTCCGTTTAAAATCACTAAAAATTAAAACATCTGACTTGTCTGAAAACTTTTTTCTTATCGTTAGAAACTCACAAGAACAGGAAAAGAAAAACAACGGATGAAAAATGAACCTCAATCAAAATTTGAGTGTTTACGATTATTAAAATACTTTTCAGAAGTATGCTGATCTACTGGATTTGAAAAAAAACTTTTTCCTCGTGGATATGAGGAAATTACCCTGATATCCGCGATGTGGTTGCTTGAAATGTGGGAGGCTCACCAAAATTTTCCAATGTAGCCGTCGGCGAGGATGGAACCGAAAATCGGCGAGAAATAGCAGATGACGGTCCAGCCGTGATAGATCATGATGCTGTCGTCCTTCGTGAAGTTCAGCATGTTCCTCAGGTACAGCGTCAGCACGGCTACAGTCAGAAACCCGATGTTCTGACAAGTTTCTTCGCAAACCTCGCATTCCATAGAAGCTGAACCGTTCGCAGAACTCGTTGGCCACGATGCAAAACGTAGATTTCGGCCATTTCTTGACTATTTCTCCGAGCTCCTGAAAAAAAAAAGTTGATATCGATTAGGAGATATTGAGTCATGCCGTAGGCTCCGGATCGGTGATCATAGGATCGTCCTCCGAACTTCCATCTGTAACGTTTCATAAATAAAAACTAGAACATTTTGAAGTTGATCAGTTCCAAGATGGAATTGAAATAAATAAGCTGCGACCGTAGTTTTTCTGATTTATTATTTGCCTTTCTCACAAGTTTCGATAAATACTCGAACACTAGAAATAATTGAATTCAAACCACGAGGGACGGTATTTTCAGAATCCTGCATCTCCGAGTCCAAACGCGACGATGTCCGGACAGTCTGAACAAAGCATTTTTCCCAGAAATATAACATTTTACGAGTTTGACAGAGAAAAAAAAATGGTTTTAAAAGTTTTCAACTTTATGATTCTCTAGTTGGAGTTACATACTCGAATAGTTTATTCAAACTGGACCGTTCGGACCAGCCAGAAATAGTATAAAGAACGGACTCAAGGAGATAGAAGTTCAAAATTTCATTTCCTTTGCACACGAGTATCTAATTATCCTTTGGAAAGAGAAAAATGAATTTTTATAGCAAGAAAAAGAGAGTGGAGAAAAATATATATTCCTATTCCAAGTAGAAAATTTTCAGCGTTTTTTTCTTTATTGTTCTTTTGTTTACAGCATTGGTACTGTTCAGCGATATTGAATAGGTTTCTGTCCAAAAGTTTCTGAGAGCAGAAAAGAAAGGTGAAATTCAAACGAAAAACCAAAGATTTTTTATCGTCCAATGTAAAACAAGCTTATTTTCTCACAAATTGTGCCTATTTTGAAAGGACTATCTTCCAGCACAAAGAATATCAAAACCAGGAAAAAAGAGTAGAAATTAGACCTCTTTTGTCGACGCCATTGAAGACATGGTGCGAAATGTGAAATTACACTTTTTCACGTTTCAATTGGAATTTTGATACGTTAACTTCCGGTTGTTCGAAATCTTATCAGAATTATTATGAATGCGGAAAATATAATAATCCCAATAGAAAGAGACTGACCAGGGAGAAAATTCAATCTTCAAATTGTCTTTTAAAATTTAACTTTAGTTTGTTCCTGAAAACTCAAAATTGGAGAGCTCCTGACATCGTTTTTTTAAACTTTCCTGTTTTCCGATATTAGTAAAAATCGATAAATTCACCAACTCAAAAGAAAAAAACTTTAACAAAACGGCCTTTCTTGCCAAAAAGGACCGGTTTACTCGCAATGTGATACCATTAGGCCTAATGGGTAAACACCAAAATGAGGCGAAATCGGCCTATCATGAAGTTTTGAAAAAAATGGAAACGAAGATCAAAATTTTATTTTGAAGTAACTCTGTAGAGAACAGCCGGAATAATCTGAGTACAATCTTCTTTTGGATCTTTCCGCGTCGATTGCATCTGAATTTGTTATTTTCGAAAATAAGAACTCCCACTGATGAAAAGTGAAAATGGAAATGTGTCCCGAGATGTTGGAAATTTTTTAACTCATACTGGGATTATCAGGAAGATATACTATATAAATAACCATTATTCGATTTCGAAACTGAATTTCGATTCAGCTTATTCATCAAACTGCTGGATGGACTTTCCAAAAGAGCGACTTCTGGAAATATATCAAATAAACGAGATGAGTTATCTTTTTCGTCAAACACCTTTCATTTGATGCCGACTACCCCACAAACTGTCTTCGAATCGACAGAAAAAGATATTTTGATGAGATCCAATATAAAAGAAAAATTGAGTTGTAATAGAGAGGTTATGGTAAAGCCCCTCCAAAAGTCCTACTTTCCTGCTAATTAAACCAAAAAAGAGGCTAAGACGGTCAGTGAACGCAAACATATCATTGGGAAATCAACAAAAGCGTCAAAACGGTGGCCGCGAGAAAAGCATTGGTCGAAGGGGCCGAACCGGACGAATTATACAAAGCCTCCGAAGCGATCAATCGAAAACTCCGTCGAACGCCATTTTTTTAGTTTCCTACTTTTTTGTCTACTCCGTATTTTTTAACTGAAAAAATAGTTTAACACACTAAAAATGGAGGGAAGAAAGATACGAATTATGATCTATTGGATTTCAGCGATTTTCAAATGTTTACGTTATATCATTTTCTTTCAAGTTTATGAAATTGACTATAAAAAAAAACTAGCCTGCCTGCCTTTCTTCCGGCTATATCAAATCTTTCCAAGTTGCTACCTTTCCTTTTTTTTTAAATCATATTTCTTTTTCTTTTTTTCTCGATCCCTGCTTATATAGTCAATGTTTCCCGACTTGAAAGGCGAGGGAGGCGGGGCAAGGGGCGGGGCGCGTAGCGTGTGCGTTCGCGGTTCTTGGCACGAGTTCAATTCAACGGCCAGCGAGCATTCAGAGAGCTCATTTATCGCTCTTTTCACTTCTTTTTTAATTATTTATTGATTATGTTAATTTTTGCATCAAAAAGTAGTAGAAAATACAGAGAAAGAGCGGTCGCCGAGCTTTTTACATAGTCGGCGGCGATTGAATTGAACTGGCGCCAAGAACCGCGTGCGCACACGCTACGCGTCCCGCCCCTTGCCCCGCCTCCCTCCCCTTTCAAGTCGGGAAACATTGACTATATAATGCTAATAGTTTCCAAGTCAACAGACTCGAAAGAAAAATCCCTCGGAGCGAAAAAAAAAAATGAAAACAGGTGGAAATTTCGACTTTTCTCGTTGTCATTTTAAAATTAACAAATCAGGAAATCGAAAAAACTCACAATTTTCCTGAGAAGTCACAAAGGAAAAATCAGTGGGCGTAGACGAAAAAAATGAGCGACGTTCTCCTTCTATTTTCCGACTACTTGCATTGTA